CTCTCTCTCTCTCTCTCTCTATCTCCCTCTTTCCTGATTTTAAACTGCCAATTCAATGTTTTGTTTAATGAAATTTGTTTTCTTTTCCAAAGCCTTCCTACCTAATGTAAGTTTCTGACGATTAATCTTCGCACATCTTAGAAATGCGCTGATTATTGCACGCATTAGTTAATCCCTTTCTGAGTACATAATAAAAACCCGTACATTATTTAAAAGATAGTGGTTAGAGTGGTTGTTGGAGCGTATTCTAAGTCAATGCCAATTTGTGATTGGTCATGGTTATCAATTAACTTTTCATCGGGTATCCATACCAAACTTTGAAATATAAATTTATCTTAAGCTATTTCAATATATCTTTTTCATATCTAAATAGAATTCATAAAAATTATATAATGAAACCTAGGAAAGTGATTATAAAATTGTTGTTATTGAATCATAACTGATAAATAAACTACACGTAAAATGTGAATACTGAACCGAAGGCCGGGCTGTTTTAACGCCGAGCTGATCGGGGTGGAAATATCGTCTGATTGAGCCTGCCCGCACTTCTATCGTACTATTTATGGTTCAATATTTTGTTATTGTATTTGTATCCAGTTTCTAATTAAGATTTTACTTCAATTTGTTTATGTTTAGGTCCATAGAAAAAGGCATGTCTAGGTATTAACATCCCACATAATGAATTATTATATTTAAGATGACAAAGCTGAATTTGGATGTATCCATAGTATAATGTTTTGAGCAACGCACCTTATTATTATTCAGTAAAAATCATGAACGAAATTTTAAAGGAATTCTAGTAAAAACTTTTTTTTTTGTAATTCGACAATTCAACCATTGTATTGGTAATCAGCAGGCATTGTGGCCTAGTGGTAAAGTCACCGGGTTATTGATCACAAAACAGGGTTCAAGTCACCGTGATCACTATCTTCTATTAGCAAGACTTTACCATGATAAGGCCACTATCTGATGGAACATGATATTGGTGGGAACATATGGTAAATATTATTTGTTCATTCATAGGCTTCCTCCATGAGTTCGTTACGAAAAATAACTGGACAAAAAGTTAACAAAATACATTTCTAAAAGAACACGTAATACGGAAATTTAACTTTTCAACAGAATGTATTTTCTCATTATCAGGCAACTTCACTGTCAGAGTCAAGATATTAAGGTAAAATAAAACATTTGCCGTAATAATTATAATTTACAGACTAGCACTAATGAAAATCGCTCTATACACTCGTATTCGGATGCATTTGCAACAAGATAATTATGCTAAATCTTGTTATGCTAGAATCACATCAGTTTAAAGAATATGCACTAAACGCTGTTTTGATATATATTTCAAAAAACATATTTGATTGACTGATTGATCAATTGAATGATGTTATACGTCAATTATAATTTACATTTAAATCATAACATATACAAGACAGAAAATAAGTATTACTTGACATGGATGGCCCATCTTCAAACCTGATAAATAGCTTATACCAATGGGGTTCATAACAATGGTTGAAATTGTATGAATCCTAGCCACATACTTTACAGTAAACACTGCAATTATTCAAAATGCATATGGAATAAAACGAATTGAATTGATTTGTTGCTTGAAACTATACCATGATGGTTTTATGTCCCATTCATATTGATAGTTCCTTGCGTATCGCCATATAAATCTGCTAACATTGATTCACGAATTCAGCATCCAAATAATGCGACGTATGATAAACAAATTGATGACAAGGGCATCCATACTAGCACCAGCAAATTCACGTTCACCATGTCATGTTTTTCTATACATGTCGACATTCAAAAATATCTTCTGATCATTTTAAAGTACAAGTCCACTCCAAAAATAACTTACTTTCAATAAAAGCAGAACAAAATTACTACATATTAGTGCATCCAAACAAAAACATATTACTATCAATCTAACTTGGATGCTGGTGTGAGGAAATAAGATTCTTAGGGGGGGGGGGGGATTGGAAATTTATATTATCAATATATAGAAAATATTAGTGGATAATGAGGACATGACGTCACAGACTGATGAGTGAGTTTCCAATTTGTCTTGTGCTTTTTATTGTTCCAAAGTTTTACATACTTTTTCAAAAATTCATAACTTTCTTATTTATCCGATTCCGCTCAAACTTTTTTTGATCGGTTTGTCTGACTTTTCTGCTTCTATTGAAAGTAAGTTATATTTGGAGTGGTCTTGTCCTTTAAAGTTTAGTTCAAAAATCTTTCATGTTACTTTGCAAACTAATTATATAAAAGCGCTGTTTTGTAAAAACAAAATATTCATGTACCATGTGAAATAAGTTTCCTAATAGATAAAAAACGCAAATGCAAAAATATGCCGATGTATTATCACACCATGATGTTGATTTTTGTCTTCGTTGAAAACAAATTGTACAAGCATCATTTTCAGTTGACATTTCATGATAATGCTTGTTTACATTTCCGCCGGGGAACATTCTCAGACTTTTTGGTTGACGTTAACCTGACATTTCTGAAGGGGCCAGTTCCCATTAAGGTCCCATTCAATATCCGTTCGTTACCATGCTCCGACACAAAATATGTAAATGAGTGACCTCACATCGCGAATAGGACCATTAAATATCTCATTAGCGCCTATGGTAATGTTTAGACGATACCGCATCACAGGCATGGCAGGCGCTCCATTATAACGGGCGGTCCCCCTTTGATGTTATTCACACTCATTCACTCTAGTGGTTAACCAAGACACTATGACAGAGAAAAACATAATGACGGACAGATGTATATAATTACACTCTACTATTAATAGTTGTGTAGCCTTGCTATTACTATTGTTCCCTGTCATTATCGTTGAACTTCTCATCTAATTTGGGTACATCACCACCCCCTAGTTCTCTTCCTCTCTTGCTCTCTCTCTTCCTGTTCCTCTTCTTTTTACTACTACTACTACTACTACTATACTACTACTACTACTACTACTACTACTACTACTACTACTACTACTACTACTACTACTACTACTACTTCTATTACTACTACTACTACTATAACTATAACTACTACTTCTATATATATACTACCACTACTACCACTTTTACTTCTAATATTTTCTATTACTACTATAACTACTACTTCTACTACTTTTACTACTACCTATACCATCACTACTAATGCTCCTACTGTTGCTACTACGACATGTTTCTTCAATTGGAAATAGATTATGGTGTATTTAATCCAAATGCCATTATTTCTAATACACCCCAATATAGTATTTTCTAAACATTGATTTGTTATGTTATAAAATGTTTCTTTCAGAAGAACACAGCTAGTTTCTAATGTTTCTTTCCAAATAGCACTGTCTCAAATTAACAGCTGTGAAATAATGTTATTTTTTCCCCGCTTGCCTGTGTATGTCGTGAAGGCTGCTCGAGCTACCTATGGGATACTACTTTAATACGACACAAGCGCCTGGGCGCCATTTCTGTTTCCGCTTCATGGCTAAAAATGACGTCATATTGTGAGATCACAATAAAGTCCTCACCGTTCTTTAGATAGCTTATGTATTTCTTACTTTAATAATGCACTCAGTGATAGTTATAATTATGTCCCGCATACTAAGAATCTTTCAATCTGATTGGTCTAAACGAGGTCACATGATCAATGATAGATAAGTACTATCTCCCTGCAATAGGACTTCTGTACCGTAATTTTTTTTGCTGCTGCCCCACTTGCCCATTGAATAAGCATATAGCGCAAAGCAAAGTAGGTAACGCGAAATGTCAATGTCAATGTCAAATGAGCGTGCATCGACTTTATTACATATAATTATGCATGCTGTGCTTTGTAAAATCTAGCTGAAGCTAAACTGTCTGCAGAATCAGTTCTTTTAATTATGTAAACTTCACTTTAAATAGACCATATTGCCGATGTGGGATATAAAACAAATATTAACCTCCTTTACTCGGGCAATGGATACAAACTATCATCGCCTCGGTGATCTCGGGGCTACCATCATCCCTCGCCGGCTAGGGATGATAGTAGGCCCGAGATCACCTCGGCGATGATAGTTTGTACCATTACCCTCGTAGTCGATTAATATTTGCTTTCTAGATAATTTCAGTTTCGGTCGTGGCAATATTACTTTTGCCTTCGGGAATGTTCCCCTCAGTAAATGTATTAACATGATTAACGTCACCTCGGACCCGTTATTAAGTAAAGTAAACCACCTTTTTCTGTGAAGGTATAGGAAAGAAGAAATTACGTAAAATGAATCTTTACAATGAAATAACCTATCAGGGCATCATGCAGAGAGGTATATTTAAAAAAATATTTATTTCATGACTTCTAAATAAATTAAAAAAGGACCAGTGTTTAATTGCTTTAATACTATCTTCTTCAGAATATATCCTATTTATTTTCGCTTTTCACGTATTACCTTCTCATGATTGAACTTACGTAGTAACTTTAGAATGATATCGAAATGTTTTCTCTCTTCCGGATTGATAACATTCGAAAACCAAACCGAAATAGGGAAGTTGAACATTTTTTTAAATTTTAAATAAACATTATTTACTTAAGAGAACATGATTTGCTCAAGTTATGACTTTACGATCTCGTACCTAATATAGGTTAAAACAAAATAACAAAACATGTTAACGGTTCTTTAAAAATAAATGATTTTTAGAACTTGATACGGTTTCATACATGATGTCATATATATTTAAAGAAAATGAATACATTTAGATGTTATTTTTCTGTTATTCTGGGAGTATACTGACGGGATGGATGGGCAGGAGTGGGGGGGGGGGGGGGGCTTTAATTCCATCCAGGCATTGACATTCCGCGTGCCAGGCGTCATCTTAAACCATGGTCCAAAATACGGGTTGGTTGATTAGATGCAAGACAAGCGAGTTGGGTAAACAAACCTCTGATCTGGGGATGTCTCAAGACTGCGGGTTGTTCCGTAGATCAGACAGATCGCGATTCTCTTTCACAACACATCTTCTTCAATCGGGCTTCTTCGATTCGAACAAACTTCGAAGATATTTAATCGCCTTTGAAATTCAACATTCACCTTTTTGTACGGTGTTGTTATTCGTTAAAGGGAGTTTCTTGTATTATTAGACTGTGGACATTAAACTGTGATTGTTGCCCGGTAGTAGGCCGATGATATAAAACACGCTTATTGGCCAAACGGTCGTATAATATTCATTACCAGGGCGTCACATCTATAAAACCATATTTTATGATGACGCTAGAGTATCTGCACCCACAGCAAGCGGAGAGCATGTATCTCCACCACCCGTCCGCTTCGGGGGGCTACCAGCAGCAGGCCTCTCATCCTCCTCCTGCCCCACCCCATCATCAGTTCTCACCGGCAGACTACTGGCAGCTGCACGGCGTCACCGCTAGCGGGGAACACGTCGCACCGGTAAGCGGCGCCACTGCTACCGTGTCCAATTCCGCCGTGCACCACCAGTCCAACTCAACACCGGGTTGGGCCAGCAGTGGTTTAGCCGGCGCCATCGCCGCCTCCGCCGGTGGCGCGGCGCCGGTTACGGAGTGGCAATACATCCACCATGCCTCGCAGAACCCGAACACCGTCTCGTGTGCGCCGACGTCGGTTTACTCCGGGGTTTCTGATGACTATGCTGGGGTTCATAACCAGGGGCAAGCTTACGTTAGCCCTGGTGGGATTCAGACAGTCGCCCAGGCTCTACATCGACCAATGATGACCACATATGACTGGATGAAAAGCTCTACTTATCGATTTAACCCACAAACAGGTATTTAACCAAAAGCTAAATAAAACGATGTAACATTCATCCATTTACACTGAGATTTGCTATATAGCCCTATATTTTTATATCATAGATATTAACTCATTCAAAACATAATACTTAAAAGTCTTCTGTACTATCTTTTTCTTGATGCTTCGATTGTTAAACACTTTGAAGAAAAAAAGAACTTTTAAATTCCATTAACAAACGCATATTTAAGAGATAAAAACAAAGATTGTTGACCCTTAAATATTGGAATATTAATATTTTGCCATTTCAGAGATAATAAATGCTTTATCTACAAAAACCTTTTACAATCCAATTAACTGTGATTAGATACCATAAATTGTTGTATTCTTATCCATTCTCACCAACATGACCGTTTTTTATAACGTTTTGATCCATTTTATAAGTGATATTCAAACATATATGCATGACAGGAAATTAAAATGGTCAATTGGGAGGGTAACTTGGTTTTAAAAGGAAATATTTAATCAATCGGGATTGAACAAAATGTCATTATAAGAAACGCTTGTTGATAGCTTCTTGAGGCTTTTCTAAGCATTCGAATAAAACATTAAAATACAATGCTTATAGACTCATATCCTAATACTCTTTTTTCTTCAATTGTCCGTTATTCAATTGTTGATCGAAAATGATACCAAATGAATGTGATTATCAGTCAGACAGCTAAACTTCTTTTGAACATTTTACCCTTTTATTATTTTAAACATTATCTTACTGATTGTGTGTTCCAATAATATAATTCGACCATGGAGTAAGAGAACTACGTAGTTTCCATGTATGAGTAAAAGTCATATTTAACAGTTTAGACATTGTATCTCATGTTATATTTGGGCCGAAAAAAAAAATGTCAATAACATTTGTTAATAAATTTATTTTCTGTGAACTTTCGTATGAATTTAATATGAAGTTTTCAATTAAATTATCACGAGTTAGTTACAATTATTCGATCAACATTACATTTTTGTTAAATCCCTATATATTCATGCAAACCATCTTACACAATATGCCGTAAAATAAGGTTTGAGCTAGTCCTACACTAAATAAATACGTTTTATTACCTGATTACCCAATGGCTCTTTTCCAAACTAAAGAAAACTCTACATTACTTTGCAAATAGTCGTATAGGTTTCTATGGAGATAGGAAACTATACATTTATTTAAAATTATGTAGCTCTTAAATTCAATATACCTCAATTCCTTAGTCATAAAGGTGGAACACAGCGAGGTCATAATAAGCATCAATGAAAAAACAAGTATTCTGTACAACAAGCATTTTGAGGTATCTTCTAATTCACGGTGAGATCCAAATACAGGATAAATAGAAACAAAGCAACATTCGGGGTTTTTCACGTGTTCATTGGCAAAAAGAAGTTATGCCGCTCGCCAGACAAAGTAATCAAACTAACGCTCTATTCAATTTAGTCGTGCCCTTACCAAATGTCTTTTAGATAAAACCGTTCTTTTCATTATGGTCTAGAAAAAGCATTCAAAACCGTTCTTAAATATTCAAATAATATAAATAAACAATTTATATTATTTTATTTTACATTACAGAAAATGCAATTTTCTCATTTGCTTTTAATAGTCAATGTGTAAAGACTCAAGTTTGTTAAAGTCCTCTTTGACGGCGATTAAAAAGGGAGAATAACAATAAGAGAACTTTCGCGTATTGATTCTAAATTCAAATTGAGCAGGACCAGCTCTTGATACTTCAAAAGAACGCGTAGTCCATGTACTACCTAGAAAGTTTAACTATATTTTGCATAATTTATTACGTTTTAGTTGAATACATTCACAGCTTTCACATGATCACTTTATCGCCTCGTTTGTTATAATCTATTCTTTTAGTCATGGTTAAATCTATCAGCTACCACTTTATTAATCAAAAGTTTTGAACATAGCTAGATCAGCGGGGATCCAGGATGGCCTGTGCCTCCCCACCCCTGCAAAATCGAATGTTGTGCCCCACCCCCCCCCCCCCGGCCTGAAAATCCTTGATCCGAAATTTTCGAATGAAACATAATTAAAAAATCGCATCAAATGGTAAAATAAGATCAGTGTAATTCATACAAATAAAGGTCAACTCACGTGGTAATACTTTTTAAAATTCAGATAGATGTTTATGGAGTGAAACATAGTTTATGCACAACATAATAAATCCCCTTTTCTTATTTCCCATCAAGAGTTTTCGTAAACGCAGCTGCATTTATGCATTATTTCTTGGAATGACAACTGAATTGTAACTAATTGTCATTGACATAAACTAAAATTATATTGTTGATCAAAGCAAACGTTTTCACGTAAATCCAGCATTATTGCCGATGTAATTTTGTTTTTTATGAGACATTTGATATCATGACAGCTTTTTGTCTCGTTATTTGAAGAAAAGAAAATGATTTTAAACATCTACACTTCAGTGTTTTTATTGTTAAAAGATTGAAAGTTAATATTTGAACAAAATTATAAAAGGGTATCGCAGGTAATACTCGACCAATTTTGTCACTTTGAGTGCAATTATTTCAAATGCAGATTTAATATACGTCATGATAACACCTGACAAAAAAATCAACTCACTATTTTTTCTTGAGGTATAAAACTGCTGACAGCAAGTTGAGGTCTTTTTTTTTTTTTTTTTTTTTTTTTTTTTTTTTTAATTTTTTTTTTATAGCTACGGATATTTTGAAATTATATGCAAGTAGGATCCTTGATTTAAAAAATCCGACCAGTTGGCCCTACTTTGCTTATTCCCCCGATTTTACATATAAATATTTCTGAGTGAATTTACATAAACTTACATGTTGTCCACTAACTTTGCATAAAATGTATCAATAATCTACTCTGAAATATTTTCTTACCTGGTAATGATTATCATCCTTGTATTATTCCAATCGGTCTTGAGACAAACTCTTAAAAGTAATTTCCTTCCTAGTTTGAGAGATTCATCACATTTCAGACATGAAAACTGATCAATATTCCATAAGAAAAAAACTAGAGCATTATTGTGTTTCTTCAGCAGGATCGAAATGTGTTGTGGTACCCAAAATGCCTTCCCCCAACTTTATAATCGTTTATGAATTTACAGCAACAAATTCGCAAATGTATTCTCTAAATGTGTCTTTTGAAAAGGTTTATAAGCTTTTATGAAATAAGTACCTTCAATTGCCCAGAGTTGTCGGCAGATTTATACTGGTTTTATTGGGTTATGGCACATAATAGACACCAGTGGAGTACGGGAGTCTGTTGGCGTCAAAACGTTGGGTTCATACCATAAAAGCACGGGATATATGACGACTAATAACACTTTTATAATCCATATAGTGGGCTAACAGCTTTTTATGGAACTTCGTTTTTGGATGAGGGTCTAAAGCAGATGCTTTGGTTTAGAAATTCTGGAATTGTTTCCTGGCAGCTGCATCATTCTAAATGCAATCGTTTTAGACATTCACAACTTGCTTTACATATAGCTAAATCTTTATCCTTGTCACTTACAGTTTAGCTGTATGATAGCTGCCATCGGGATTATCTGTACATACAAACAAACAAACTAATCGTGATCTTTAATGCTATTCTGCAATTCATTCGATTAAATCCAAAATGATTTGTTTTTCATAATTTTTTTTCTTCTCACTTTCCTTTTAATTCAAATGAGATAAAGAAATGAAACCAAATCATTCTTATCTCAGCAGTATATGTGCCATTCACTCAGCTCTGCAAGAGTTGACAAAAACATTGCATAATCCATGAATAAAATATATGAGTTTGTGTCTTATTAGACGACATTAGAGTACTCAGCCTGGAATTTTACAAATATCAAATTGGATTCGTCGTTTGTTAATATATTTTTTCTTGCCTCGAAAATCTGTTTCTGGACCCGTATAGTTTATCTTACGTATTTAGGAACGGGAATCTTGTCTGGCGTTCCCCCTTTTAGATAGGTTTATGACATTGGTAAGTCCTTGCTGTATCTACGTTAAAAAAGTTTCGCAAAAGTCAAACATTTCGTCAATTGACACAACGTGTACATATACAAGTAATTAAAACAATTCGTTGGAAGCACTTTATGTTCCATGTTATATATTTTACTTTTATATATAAATATCAATATCAAGATATTGCCCCGGTTTCCACACGTATAAATTTGCTACAGGTTGCAATAAGTCTAAATGCAAAAATACTAAAAGTATAAATCTTACATTATTATAATTGATTGTAATCAAACGTTGCATGTATGAAATTGTCTACACCTTTGTAGCACAAAGTCTGATAACAGAATTCGACCTGGTTGTAAAACAATCCATTGCTAATTCTTTAATGACCCGCTGGTATGCTATTTCTACCATGCTACACCTCTGGGAAGTGTTTTATGATATAACAGCGGGCAATTTTGCTTGTAACATGCTCTTTATATAATCATTAGACCTTCTTTGCAGAAGCACCTTTTTAATGTTGCTAATTTGTTATTCTTTCCTGATGTTCTAAGAGGCTGTTTGGCCCAATAAAGTCGACTTGTAATAATCGTTTTATAGATGCTTTTTGGATTATTGTGCAACCCTCTCGAATAAATTTTCATTGATGGATTTGTTTATGATCTTTCCACTGCGTGGGCTTGCTAAATGGCTGGTGAACTATTAGAAATATAAGAGGTATAAAACAGTATGAAACAGAAGTGATCATCGCGGTGATGACCAATTCCACGCATTTACCTTTGAAAACAAGTCATTCTATCTAGGGTATTGTTGAACATATTGAATATTTGTTAAAGTATACGCATCGTATATCATTAACATCTAGAAAAAATAGCCTTGATGTTATTTGCATCCACTGTAAAGCGTACGTATTCACTTTGTAAAATTCTTATACAACAATATAGCTTTGAAAAGAGACTGTTTCAATTAATTATATTATAAATGATTATATTTTGTCGGTGGATCTTTCTGTTTTCGTCAAATTTATATCTTTGACAAACTACATATAGTACATAAAGAATAAGTACATGAAGAAGTTTACTTGAAGGGAGAATACTTAGATCCATATCAAGCATTACATTCTTTAAGCCCCCCCCAAACCAATGCTAAACACATGTCATTTAGTTTAGTATTCAAAATTTTTCATTCATTCATTCAAAATAATTGGAATTTATTCAACAACAACAAAAAACAATATGAAGCCGTAAGATAATGTAGAAGTGTGCCTAACTGACAATTTAAGAATACTCATACGTTCGGAAGAATAATTTAAAAGAGTGATTGTTTAAAATGGCATAGAAATGAAAGAAAAATACATAATGAAGAAAAGTTTAACTTAGTCCTGGACACGATAACAAAATTTCCTGGCATAAATGTATCTAGTTTCATTTCTCCCTTGAGTTTCTTTTTCGTAAGATCCGCCCCCTCCCCCCTCCCCCCTCCCCAAACATGAGTGCCAAATTACTGTTTTCGCTTCATCATCAAAAAGAGGGGTGGAAGATAAGAAGGGGTAAACACACAAAAGAAAAGACCGTTAGCGGTGTCAAAGACACGTGTAAATAAACATAAACTGACATGAAAATCTCGTTAGCGCGGTGAACGTTCAAATCATTAAATAGTTTACTGGGAGATAACGACGAATAGTCTGCATTCGGTGTATCTGTTTGTTTTGAACACCACAAGAAACGTATCTAATGAAAATAGAACACCCCAACGCCTTTTGAAATGAGCGTTCATGCCGCCCGAATTTGCATATCGCTTTTTTCGTGAAGGCATCCATTAATAAAGAAGAAAAATGCGTTAAAAAGACACTTTACCAAATATTATCACGACTTACAAAACAAAAAAAACACCAAAAAGGTACAGACAAAAAACATTTTTTATGTATATCTTTTAAAAGGATGAAAACAAAGCTTGGGCTTTCATCACCTTTGAACCATTGAGAGTATATAACATCACACAAATTTAAACCATGTTTCCCGCTTTCTAGCGAATAAAAAGTGAGCAAACAATGAAGTTTGTACTTCGGACATATTTAAAACTTCATTTTCTCTGATGGAACCAAACAAATCTCTGTTTGTTAGATTGAATGTAGGCTGGTTGAGGGTTAACTGTATTCGATTGGCAAGGAGAATGAACGAACAATTAGCGTGACTTTTCCACTTCTCTTGGTATCTGTTCTTCTTGTATCTCTGACATACTTTTGAACCCCAAATGATTTACAATCCCAAGCTGGGTTAAATATTAAACCGATATTTGACAAGAGCATCATAAAGTTACTCTCCACTTGCCTACTGCAACATATCGGGTGCCATAAAACATCTCTATTAAAGGATACGAATAAAACTAAACCTGAGAGAGAAACTCCGGGTGACTACTTCAAACGGATTCAGAGGAAATTGAGAATTCTACATATTCTTCCCCATTAATTTCTCTATTTTGCACGAGCAAAACATTGTTTACATCTTCTTCTCTGGCTAGCTACATGGCAGAGTGTTTTCTCTGTGTGGACCAAAGAACCTTTACTATAGTTAATAAAAGAAAAGTTTTAATGAGTAAAACGAAAACAGTTTCTCCTGTAAACAAGAGCAATATTGCATGTCTGTCTGGATGTAAATTATTAACAAGATTCCGTTATTTCTGTTTTCCTACTCGATCCTTCTGCTCTCTTGATAACAGCAGAAATTAATTTATTCAACTTTACTATCAAATTACTCACAACAATGATGATACAAAGAAAGATTGAAATATTGTGAGAAATGTCCATCTGTCGTTTTATGCTTTGTTAACAACATATAAAACGCGGGAAAATAACACATGTTTTAATTTTCTTCCCTATTACATTCTCCTTAATTAGGGTTGGGTTGTAAAAATGTTCAAGAGGCTCAATAGTTTTATTTTGAGTGAGAAATTTTCTTTCTCTTGTTAATTTGTTTTGTTTCGATCAAAATTAGTGTCAATGTTGTCATCTTTTTCTTGGAGTTTGGATTTTGATTAGCATTGACTAGTTCCATTTCTTTGGAGTATTTCATGCCAATTTACATAATTTAAATGATTGAAACTAAAAAGATTTGTTTTAACGGATACATCAGTTTGAAAAATAATATATCGCTTATCAAGCGTTATCTTTATGCCTGTCATTTGAAATAAAGCCCTATGAATCTTTTCGCCATGATATTGAAAACATGTTAAATAACTTATGAAATATATAGATGGGCTTATTTATTCCATTTATATACATTCGAATCCAAAAGTTGTAGTTAATGATAAACTTGAGTTCTGGTAAACATTGTAAATAAATTCCCTCAGCATTCACCGAAACTTACACTGAATGTTCAAGATTACAAATAAATGACATGTGCAAAACCATTTTGGTAGAAAATGTATAGGGGCTGATCAATGAAAATAGAAATATAAGAAAATCCGGGTAAGTATATAGGCCCGACACTATGTGCTGTCCACATGTCACTACGTGCAAATGGGAGTTGTGCTTTTTTAAAGTTTTTTTTTAATCGAAGATGATGTTTGTGCGTTTGTTTTTATTTCACTAGTTCACACAACCAATCTACTGCAGGATAAACAATCCAGAATAAATCTTAGCAATTTTCTCTCAAAATACGATTCCCATCCCAGAGCTCAAGATTAGCTTTAATTTTGCCTGTCCATTAAAAATATAACATAATATATTTGCTACATGTTTGATTATAATTGCTTTCATAATGAAATCTTTAATCATTCGTGTTGAATTAAAGAGAAGGTTTACTTATGAGAAAGCTGACAATAATTTGAGTTGTGTTCATTCTTTTTATGTTAGCGTGGAAGAGTAACAAAGATAAAATGTCCCACTGAATAGGCTGGCTCTTCAAATGCCCTCATATTCAACATGTGACAAGTAGCAGCTAAAGATTGTGGACCACTACTTACATGTCTAGTCCCATATACACATTTATGTGTATTCAGTGCACCTGACTCATGGTACACTGTATTTATAAATTTATTAGCATTTTGAAGATCATAAAACATCACATTATACACCAAGACTCGTGTGCTACATGATCAACCTTTCCAATCGTTTCCACATTTTCTGTCTCATTGCAATTGCATGATTGGGCTCTGTTTCATAAAACTTGTTATCAATAACAAGTGTTACATTATTTCTGATACAATTTTGCTCTCACCCAATCAAATTTAAGGACTTCATTAGCTTAAATATAACAGTTATTGCAATTTTGGTATTGATAACAAGTTTTATGAAATAGGACACCAAACTCAATATTATCTTTCACAGTGAGATCGTATCATTAACCTGTATTTTTGCCTTCCGTGTTCGACCTTATAAACTTGATACTAACTTTTATTTAGCATTTTGTAGTCAAAAAGCGTGTGTACCAAATGATAACACTTTATGATATTTGCATATTTACAAACGAAATAAGATAACACAAATTGCTGCATCATACAGTATCAATAAATGAAAATAGGGGGAAATGGTTTAATAGAGAAAGGGGAGGTCTGTAATGATTTCTTTTTTCTCGCTCGTTTATTCGGCGCCTTTTATTAGCTCGTCGTGTCACGAATGCTCGATTACCCTATCTCCTCACGTACAATTTGTTTTAATGTTTGTAATATTTTGAATGGATGTAAATCTGAAATAAGTGCTTATAGTCGAAATGTAATCACAATGCAATACAATGCTTCGTAAATGGGACAACTGAATATCAAATATTACATACTGTATATGGCGTCTCAATCAAACTTGACCTACTAATCAAATGATTCAAATGATTTTTATTTCTCATGCAAAACATAATACAAGAATAATTATATCACAACAAATATGCAATGAAACGACAAATATAATGGAAAAAGCATGAGAAACAGGAACTAACTTAAAGCAGAGCTTGTTGAAGTGTTAGTTCCTCAGATGCTGTTTTACAATAAAACATGAACAAAGTATGCTTAGAAAACAATAAATAGACAAATATGTAGCTAATAAATTCTTTAAACAAATTGGGGGGGGGGGGGATAAAAAAAAAAGAGGAAAAATGGAGGGAAATAGTAGAAAGCAAAAAGAAAGAAAGATACAAAAAAGGGAAAATGAATGACTGCAAAAGCTTTAAAAAGGGAAATTAGATCAGTAGAAAGAGGGAGAAAGAGATCAGTTTAGAAAGAGATTGAGTCGAGAGCCAAACAAACCGAGGTTCGATCATGTACATGTGTTTAAAAGTTTAATCTAAAATGCAATGAACGAATCAGAATCTATTTATAGGAGACGTTGAAAATAAACGAATTATAATGAAACATGTTGGAAATGTGTACCAAATAAATATGCTCTATACCGTATATACATGTGGAATAATGGGAATAATATAGAAAAATTATGTTGGATAAGGGTGTCTGAATCAATATTATGTCCGTGTATACAAGTCTAGGTAATTTTTAAAATTCAAGTCAATTCAAATCATTTCACATCTATTGGATATAACATGACAATCAAGGAATACAAATAAAGAAATGCAATTAAGTAAGTTTGTTTTGTTTTACTTATGACATGAGTACATTTTTATCAGAAGTGATGAGGTAAATTTAAAGGAATTGCAAAGACATTTGGCTTGTCTGAGGTACTTCCCACATTTTTTTAGGGGGGGGGGTCGTTTGCGCCGTATTAAAGAAATTGTTTTTTGTATCTATAATTATGTCACACGAAGTAGGCCTACCATAATGTTATGCCTATGTCTTTCTCTCTCTCTCTCTCTCTCTCTCTCTCTCTCTCTCTCTCTCTAACTCTCTCTCTCTCTCCCTCTCTTTATTTCTTTCCTTTTTTCAGGCAAGACCAGAACAAAGGACAAGTATCGCGTCGTATACACGGACCATCAGAGACTAGAGCTGGAGAAGGAATTTCACTACAGTCGATACATCACCATCAGACGGAAGAGCGAGCTGGCGTTGGCTCTGGGCCTCTCGGAAAGACAGGTGGGTACATTATTTAACTTTGCGGTAAAACACAATGATTATAACAAGTAGGGATATCTGTGCCATTGCCCATTTTGAAACTGTTAACAACTAAATATTCATAGCAATACCAAGTTTTTTTTATTTGTTTTATGTTAGAAACTGATTTGTCCAGATATATATCTCTTGAAAATGTGACATATTGAAACTCACATAATTTTTGAAGTATTCAACTTAGTCAATTTAACCAGTCAACCTTTCGTTCTTGAGTTAATACGAAAAACGCAATTTACAAGCGGTAAGAATAATTCAGTTGTTAACTTTGGGTCCTTAAACTCTTTCAATGTTCTTGGTTGTTTATAACCAGCCAAAATTAATATTTTTTTTTGGTATTTCTTTAAAAAAGAAATAATACAATGTCTGTATCAAAATGGGCGGTTAAAAAGATACACTCTACCTGTTTATTTTTTATTTATTTTTTTGCATCTTGTTTTATTAGTTGATCCCGCCTGCATTTCACAAAAAAAGCTATAAACGGATAAATGAATATTTATGAACATTTTCTTTACATTTCTTTACATCAAACCACAATTTAAAAAAGGATAAACCTTTAAAACTAAATTTTGTTTCCCAATAAACTGATAGAAGTAGTCATCAACGTTACTACAATGAATTTGATCGGTTGAATTCCTAATACTTTTTCACGGGAGAAACATGCAAAATTATTTTCAGACTATTAAACATTTTATTTCGTTCTTGGCGATATGTTTTTTAGGTAAAAATATGGTTCCAAAATCGGCGAGCTAAGGAAAGAAAGATGGCCAAGAAGATAAAGATGCAAGACGGACAACAACAACAACACCAGACCACACATCAAAGCGAAGAGAGAAGTTCGAATGGACGTCAGAAAGAATTCAGTCATCAAAACCAACAAAGCCATCATCACCCTCATCACCACCACAGCCATCATAATGCCGTATTACAGCATTCATCAAGCCCTCATCATACCACAGTCGACACCAAACCCAAACTCCCGATCATAACAACGATGACCACGGTCTCCGGCGATGTCATCAAGACGACCTCGCTGACGCACATGACCACGACATCGCCACCGCATCAGGCCAGTCTGCAGGCTACGAATGCGATCGAGAGCAGGGCACTGACGACCAGCCACGCCTTGAGCTCCGGCGCTGAAACTATCGAGAATTCGCTGCATATCCCAATCACTGCTGCAGATGTTGCAAACCTTGTATTAGTTAGTAGTAAGAATTCAATACTACAAGCGTGAGTATTATGCATTTAAAATAATATCGAACTTATCTCTTTTTTGCTTAAATGGTTTTGTCATTATTAAATTGTTATGAAAACATAATAATACATGTGTATATCCCAGAATGATCAATGTTATTGCAATTTGTTTCGTTATCCATCTATTTTCGTTTATTTTCTGGTCTTTGTTTTCTGCAATGTTGTACACTTGTCTTTATAGTTGACCTTTTACACCGACAAACAGTATTTTTTAAATGATATCGTTCATCGGTGTCATAACTAGTTTCAGGGGAGAGGGAAGCTGGAGGAGGGGGGGGGGGGGGGTCATGGGGAGTCCAAGTCACGGGGGGGGGGGGGCAATTTGTTGCGGGGGAGGGAACCAAGTGAGGAAAATATGCATGGGATCTATTATCATTTCATTGACAAAGATAAACAAAAATATAGTTCTAACACTTCAACTAGCTCTGCTTCAAGTTAGTTCCTCTTTTCTCGTGCTTTTTCCATTGTATTTGTCGTTTCAAAACATATTTGTTGTGATATAATTATTCTTGTATTATATTTTGCATGAGAAATAAAATCATTTGAATTTTGAATAACATAGTCTGGGTCACCAGTTGTCACAATACAACATTAAGTACCAGACGTAAACAAAACACATCTCGATTAAATCCTTTAGTTAAGGAAACCTGGTTCTGTTGGAAAAACAAAGTTATATTTACATTTCAAACTTGATTTCAATTTTTGATAAATAATATGGTTGTATTACCAATTTACTACCTTGCTACAATCTTGATAATGATATTAATGATAATAATACTAACAATTATAATTGTAATAATGATAATAATACGAATAATATTGCGGAACATAAGCAAATTTATTATTGTGAAGAGTGACTTACATTATGATAATTATTTGTATTTGTTATTATTTCGCTAAAATCGTTCCTTTTGAACATTTGCAAGTTTTAAAGTTTTTTCTGTATTCAGTTGTAAATGCTGGGTATTTTACCGATATCGCTACCACTGCTGTAATGTATTTTCAATTGTGCAATCTTCAGTCTTCTTCTTCTTATCGAGTCACTACACAAGTCCCGTCCAATGGTCCACACAGGCTTTAGCACGGCAATTAACGGCTTCCAGGTCATCTTGGGTGCATGGCTCTGACAGGAGTGGGCAGACTAGCAGGTGTTCCATTGTCTGTTCCTGGCCGCATTCACATGCCGTTTGTTCGTCTCCTAGACCCCACCTCTGCATTAGGACTCTGCATCGACCGTAGCCAGTTCTTAGGCGGTTGAGGCTAAGCCAGGTAGGCCAAGTCTCACTGGAGCCGGTTGCGAGGGATTCCTTCGGGCTGAGGGAGAGTTTATGTGGAGTGGTCTGAAGGTGGTTAGACCACAAAGTCATCCTTTGTGGTCTAACAATAGAAGACTAGCAATCTTCAGTGAAGGCGTACATAGAGCGCTTTCCGGGTCCTATACCCAAGCATCGTCATATATTGATGCATTGTGGGACACGGTTGTCGACACATTGGGACATAATGAACAATAGATGGCAGTATACGTACATCGGAAGAAATGTCAGTAGAATACCCCGCCTTTAAATACAATGAATTGTGTATCGTATTAATATTCAATGTTATACTTTAGGGTACGCTTCGGCGACCCAATATGGATATGTCCATAAAACAAGAGGCTTGGCCGGGCATAGCTATATCAATCGAGAACTGTTTGAATAAAACAGACTCTCTGATTGAAACACTTGTAAATATTTGTAACATAATACAGTAATGAATTGTGTGTTTTTTTGGTGATGTTTTTTGGTTGGTTTGGTTTGTTTGCTTTTGTTTCTTTATTTTGTTTGTTAATGTATATTTTACCTTTCTACTTTTTGTCGATACTATTTGTAAAACGCATGGTGAGAGAATTTGTTGCTTTTTTTGTATAAATCTTTGAATTCGTAATGCAAAACAAAAAAGTATATAAATATATATATAAATTTAATAATTAATTTTCTTTTGGACTATTATTTGATCATGTCTGCAAGTTTTAACCTCCGTTTGTATTGTTGGTAATCGCTTCTGAATGTGATTTATTCGTAGAATTAATTACGTTATATTACTCTGAGTGTAGAACGTCAGTTGTAGATTTACGTAATTTGAATAATGAAATTGTATTCATGTATATTTGTCATGTTACCAACAGAAGTCGAATTTTATCCAGAGGGCTACGATCACCTGTTTGTGATTGGACAAAGTGCCATATGTAAAAATACTGTGTAATTGCCAAATGCAAATACATATATTAGAACAATAAGCTAATGTACATGTATTTTGTCAATGACCATTAAAGGTAGTACAAAGTTTTGGTAAATTTTGAAAATTAGCTGGATAGTAATTCTTTACAATTTTGACATATTTGGATGCCCATGTAGTTGCATTATAAGCACTATAAATGTTAGCCCCTGAAACATATTTGCTTTCGAGAAAAATGGAATATCTAAATTTAGCGGTGCTCCCGGTAAATTTTGATAAATTTCAAATAGGGCCTACGGCCGTACAACAGTAGCTGCGACCATGAAAATCTCAGAATATGTAGTTGTGATAAATGATTTCCAAACGGAAATAGCAAATTGGTCGAATGTAGTCAAGAAACCTTGTTTCATGGCTTAATTAATATATTGACCTTGAGAGGGAGCTATACAACATAAAGTGTTTATTATTTATAATTTCATGACTTTAGACTCGATTTCAACCGCGACAACGATCACTGAATATTGTAGGATCGCATATGCTTCCAATATGTTCATTTGAACGAAATTCATGACCCCATACCAAAACTTTGTATTACCTTTAACAACAAAAAAACGAATCTCATGATAATTTGGTTTAAGGATAATCATTCAGAAATTGTATCATGTACTGTTACTTTGTACTTTTTTAGTTTATTTCGCTGGTGCCCATTCAGATTTTGCATTTCTTCATATGTTGGGCTTATTTAATGTTTATCATGTTTATATCCTAGTTTCTGTATGATGTAAAAATAAAAAAATGCTTAACAACGATGCCTAAAAATATGAACATATCAAAGTTATTTTCTAACGACTCACAACTTTTTTTTTTCTCTCTCTCTCTCTCTCTCTCTCTCTCTCTCTATTTCTCTCTTTCTATATTTCTCTCTCTCTCCGTCTATCTCTCTCTCTCTACCTCTCTCTCTCCTTCTCTCTCACTTTCTCTATCTACGATCTACATTCCTAATATTCAAGCCTTGAAACAAAATGATTAACATGTTTGCATTAAGTTAGTAGCATTTATTTACCCAGTATGTCCTTTCTCTTTTCATTATATCGAATAACCGTTTTAAATTGCTTAAATCATGTAAATAAGATATTGCATAAATATTAGTCATCCATGTTATGTTCTATATGATACTTAAGACAATTCGCCTCATTATTCAATGCAATTCATTCAACTTTAACATTCATTCAACTTTAATACATACAATGCATACTTCTCTGTCTAAAATACCGATTATTTTTTCCATTGTTTTCCTCTGAAAAGCATGTTCATTGAAATTACCACAAATTGAAGCGAAGGAATGTATAAAGCGTCGCATTCTTACAATACTTACTTGTACTGGTCATGAAATAAAATGAATTTAATAATTATAAACACACACGTTTAGTACTTATTTGAGTATCGTCTGCTTGCATTTGATATCACAGAACCAGTTGAATGTTACAGCACATAAGAGCCAGAAGGACGTTAATTCATAGCGGTTTACGCAATAAGGATTGCCCTTCTGGCTCTCAACAGATTGTTTCATCCTCAACTGAAGAAAAAAAATATGATTACTAAGAATATTGACCTACATGTACGCTATTCTATGAATATATTGATCCGACATCTGCTCCACACTTTATTTCATCACACGTAAACCTAAACTTGAATTGGCAATCCAACTTGGTAAAAATTAAGTCCATTTTGTACGTGTTCTAGAAAAGCAGATATTTAAGATAAACTGAATGGTGAAAGTTTGAAATAAACCGTACCAGGAATATATTCAATGTTATTAATGTTCGAAATATATGATCACTAAATCTATGCGAATCTCAAATTGGCAATTTGGTCAATGAAGTATGCCATTGTCACGGAAAACTATCCTTTTTTTCGTGTACAAAATATTATAAAATTCTATTTTCTCCTAAGTGCGTTCTTCCTTGGAGCACTGCTCAAAATATATTATAAATAGCATATAGGTCCTCTGAAGAGAAAAGACAATGCTGAGTCATGCATTTTGAAAAATTGACATTTTAATAATTTTCTCTTCTAGAACAAATTTGTCGAAAATACGTCAAAGTGACATTCCCGAATCAGCCAATTTCAATTTCCATAGTATATTTATAACTTTCTTATTGGTTTCGGATTTTGTTCAAACTTTTAACAGTCTGCTTTTCTGATTTGTATTCATTTTTTTACAGTGTAGTTTGCTATCAAGTCTGGATTTTCCTTTAAGATATTGACCGCGGAGCAATAGTCACCGGAACACGTGTCGGTCAATCCTAAAGAGGGAAAGTGAAACAACACTAAGAATATTTTTAATTGTGAACACCTCTTTTCTATCTACGTGGGTTACAGATATTTGTCAATGGACATCAACGGATAAGATAACAATGCGTAAAATAAACTTGCAAGCCACTAAATTCCCTTGTAAAATTAAAATGAAGAAACTGATAGAACTATAATAACAAAAGGAAAAATGTAGAATATTTTTCCTTAAATTTTACCGGCACTCAATAAGAGCTACATGCCTGCCATGTTTATATTAAAATGAATTGTTTATGTAATAATAATAATAGCCTAATAATCCACTCCAAATTTTATTAAACCGAAACAGAAATTCATTTTGCCCAATTGATTTGCCTAATTTATAGTGAGTCTCTTCCAAATGGTTACCAATTGCGTAATTATTTAAAAACCAATTTTATTTATATTGAAAATACAGCTCCTGCAATCGTTACCAGTAAGTAGTTTATTAATTTGCATACAGGATAGAAAATATTACCTTCTAAAATCTCCTTTTTTTCTCTCTCTCCTTATTAAAATTACGAAAAAGAGTGACATTTTTTCTTTTGAATTCGAATGTTTAATCTAAAATTAATTGAAAGAGTTGATGGTGATTGTAATTATCACCGTTTCCCGCGGAAAATAACTTATTATTTATTATATCCACCACTCTTGCTCAAACAGTGTTTTGGTATACCAGGGTTTATTTTGTCCATCATCAAACGGTTTGGACGCCCTCTCGCACATCTTTCCCCAGACGGTCGGTGGGCATAGACAGACGCGGCAGTCGGTGGGACTCTGATATCCGCCATTTTGACAGTCCAATTTGAAGCCGCAGTGGTTGCCGCATTTATACATGAGGTTAACGAGCTTGAGATCGTAGAAGCTAGGCTTGGTCCTCCAGTCGATTATATGATTTGGTTTGTCCTTGACTGTTATTGTTGGTAACGCGAAGTGCTTTGAAAACGCCTGGATTAAGAGAATAGAAGACCGAGAGATAGATAAGTGGAAAGAGAGAGAGAGAGAGAAGAGAGGGGGGGGGGGGGGGAGAGAGAGAGAGAGAGAGAGTCAAAAAGAGTGGAGTGGGAATAAATGACAGACAGTAACGTTGCGATCGACATTTAAAATGTTCAATGAACATTTTAAGGACGGTTGCCCACATTTAAATAACGGATGGCATTAAGTTTTAAATTAATAATAATTCATGGTGAAAAAATTGCTTTAGAAATTATTCATGTCCAATTTGTCGTTCTAATATTTTTCTTGCGGCCTTAATTCCCTACACTAAATTATACAAGTAAAAGCCAATTCCAAGCGTTACGAGATGAAATTTCCAGCGGATTTTCTGTTTTTAACGAAGAATAACATATATATTTAACTACACTGTTGCTCATAACGGTGGAATATTTTTTTTATCCCAATTTATGGAATTATTTTAAAAATAATTTAAAAATACTAGATCTAGATAATAGTATACAGTCTCAGATTTTATTGAATAATAATTTGCCAATATTCGTTTTGCGTGACTGCTAAAGCATGTATATTATGCTACTATGTTTATCAACTAGGGGACCTATGCCCTTAAGTCATAAAGGACAGTAATGAGGATTAATGGCTCACAAAAGGGCTCTGATATAGCACATCGACACGGTGTTGATCCTGGGGCCTCACAGTTACGAGGCCATTGCTTTGTCACTGAACCATGACTGTACGCAGCGGGGGCTATGGTAGGGGGCAGTTTCCATAAATTAAAAAAAAAACAGAAAATGCAATAAATTTTCAATTATTTATTGCATTCTACCCCGGTCCCCAACATAAAAAATCCTCTGGACGGCCATGCATTATGGCTCAAGGCATGGGCACACAGAAGATTTGTTTATGTTGGGGACCGGGGTAGAATGCAATAAATTATTGAAAATTTATTGCATTTTCTGTTTTTTTTTTAAATTTATGGAAACTGCCCCCTACCATAGCCCCCGCTGCGTACAGTCATGGTTCAGTGACAAAGCAATGGCCTCGTAACTGTGAGGCCCCAGGATCAACACCGTGTCGATGTGCTATATTAGTGCCCTTTTGTGAGACATTAATCCTCATTACTGTCATTTATGACTTAAGGGCATAGGTTCCCTAGTTAATAAACATAGTAGCATAATATACATGCTTTAGCAGTCATTCAAAACACATATCGGCAAATTATTATTTAATAAAATCTGAGACTGTATACTATTATCTAGATCTAGTATTTTTAAATTATTTTTAAAATAATTCCATAAATTGGGATAAAAAAAAATATTCCACCGTTATGAGCAACAGTGTAGATACAAACTGATAACACAGTTTAATATCTGATATGAGGTACTTTCACAACATTTAGGTTTCCAATCAACCACTCATCAAATTGAATGAAATATTGAATGTGTTATACTTCATTACGGAATGACATACAGAAGGAAGTAACATTTTGGTCAACAATCTTCATGTGGTTCGGACATAGCCAACTTTTTGGGGTAAAACAATCAACAACAACAACTTATTAGGATTGATTTTCTTCAACACACCGATTCTAAAGCATACATACATTTTCCCTAACATAAATAGTTCACCTGATATCCTTTCGTGACAATTAATTGACCACGATTTATGCTTCGGCTCAAACCACGTTCAATTAAATCAATTTTTAAATATGAATAAAAATAAAAGTGATGCCCAATAGAACAGGAAAAACGAATTCAGCTAATTTAGACTGAAAACTGCAATGTCGAAGAACTTACATTAGAAGGATAATGCATGATAGAGTCGATATCGTACGGGATGGCTTTAAGTAACGACTGGTCGTAGAGCGATTGATCTTTTACGATGCCGAACGACTGCTTGAGATTAACCTTCTCGTCAATGTTCTCCCAATGGATGTTGATATATTGATCACGATCAGGTGTTTGATGCTGATGTCGCATACCGACAGCGTGCCCGAGCTCGTGAACCATCGTATACGTCTGCAACGATAAGGACGTTGATCATGTTTGATATTATTTTGTTCTTCTTTTTTTCAATTCAATCGCAAGAGTCAATATTTTTAATTTAAAGGGTTTCCTTGTATTTACAAAGTTGTTTAAACATGAGGCATTATTAACATTACACCATGACAAAAAAAAAAATCGTATGCAATCATATAGAGACATATTATACTATTAGTATTTTTCATTCACCGGTGATGGAATTACTAATCACGGAAAATATTAAAGTATGTAATCCTAAAAAATCTTGTCAAAGAATTGGTTCCAAATTATTTTTTATGAATTACTTTTTTAAATAACATTACGTTTTTCCTCGACATGGGTATTTTATTGTTAGTTCATTTCATTTGTTTTGTTGTCATATTTTGATCCTTTTCATTTAAAATTAAACATCACATAGTATCAACATAAAAAATAATAAATCATGTACGCATATTATTTTTTTTTTTACAAAGAAGGAACAAATTATGAGTTTTAAGGTTTATGATTCTACAAAAAGGAAATTTGACAGAATAGGACATGAATGAAATTAAAATGAGAACTGAAATCTTACCCAATGTGGACAAGCTGAGATGAGATGGCGCCCTTTAACCCTCCGACCAAGGAATGACGTACAGATTTTTCGTTTCTCGACATAAAGTCTATCAGAATGGCCGAGCTGTTTAGCTAGTAGAGGTTTGAAGGGCACAAAACGGACGCATGTACCTTGCTCCCAAGTTATCATGCCTTCGTAAATCTCGATCTTTTCTACTTCTGATGAGAAAAAACAAACAAGATTAAAGGTAAAGACCAGTTTTGGAAACGCCCCCCTCTCAAAAAATGAAATGAAAGTTTTTATTACCAATCATGTGATCAAACTTTTCTGATCGATTCCACAACGTTTCTTTCACAATGGAATCGCATGATCATAACTGGTCTTTATCTTTAAATGAAAATTATGCAAAGAATGGGAGCCTCATCAGCATACCTAATGGCCTTGCATTTTTTATTACCCCAACATTTGTCACGTGTCCGTTTACACCTGGGTGAAGAGTAGTGAATGTGGATTAATGTCGTACCAAAGGACATCTTACCTGTATACGTATCTGTCATCTCAAACGGAATGATTCCATACGGCCAGAAATGTTCAGGTTCTACAGCTTTCCTCTTTGCTCGAGATTGAACCGTTTTACTGTGAAGGGACGACGATTTTGATGCGGTGACGTCAGTTTCATCCTGAAAGTACCAAAACAAAAAATGAGCAGATTAAATCAATACCCAGCTTCCTCTTTTTTGACAATTGACTATTTTAGTAATGTACATGTAGTCAAATATAATGTAACACTTTTTGTTAAGTACCTCGTTACAAATTACTGCATTCCCCTGTCACTAATAATTGTATTTCTATTGTCAGAATGTAAATTGCATATATTACGTGTTGTTAGGTAGGACAAGCCGTAACGTTTGTCCTTCCTAGCGAGAATTAATGAATGCATTTTGCATTCTGACTATTGAGAACAAAAATATCCGTAACAGGTGAATTAAGTACTTTGTAATGATGCACTTAACAAAGACTTATGCATGATTAAATATAATTTATTACCACGATTACTTATTTATTGTTTATGTATGCATCAAGCCGACATTCCACCGGAGTGTCATCCCGGACAACAACTCCCAAATTTAATTCACCCCCGCACAACTGCCCAATGACGTAGTTCTTGCTTTAAAATATTATCCAACTATACGCCTCGCAAAACTACATTGTACCTATACACGGTAGGTTTACGGTTGCACCATGTGGAAGAGAGGGGAGAGGATTGGAGAGTCCTGAAAATGACTGGCGGTAGTGTTGAATACAATTGTTGGTAATCTTTCTTGAGCTCATAGTTCTAAGGAGAACAAAAACGCTGGTTTGAGAGGAAGGGTAAGAGGAGTTGCTCGACGTTTCGAACAGGTCGACTAAAAGGAATAATTAACTTCAGCAGTGTTCAAAGTATAAAAATCGTGATAATTCTTGGAAATTTCTTTCTCTAACCGGATTCCTGACATCAACCCTGCAGCAGACGAAATAAAACAAATATTGGGTATCGGTCCTTTTACACAAGTCAGGCACCTGGGTTAAGAAAGGCAACTGTACAACTGTACAGTTTCCCTACTGTACAGTGAATCTACCTATATACCGCATTATGCTCTATAGGTGTGGACTAAACGATACCAGTTGACAGATTGGGATTATCATGGCTTCTATTTTTAGGGGTAGATCATGGAGCCCCTAACCACTTGTTAGCAATAGCTCAAAATACCATCGGCATGACTGTATTATGCACACTGTCAGGGCTATACCCACCTTGTATCAGAACAAACTTGTCTACTCAATAATTCATGAGGTATTTCCCGGTGACCACCCCCCCCCCCACCCTTTCCATGTTCTGATCCAATAATTGCTCATGTAAAATTTACTGTGGATTTTATTTTGCCACAGGCATAGGGTTAGGGTTAGGATTGGAAATAAGGTTTAGGCTGGTTCAGGGTTGCAGTAATACATTTTGTTAGTCAGGTGAAGTGTAGGAAACTGAGCGAGAAGCAATTGTCGATTGAGCATCTAATTTTCGTAGAATAGTTGTTGGACCATAATAATAATAATAATAATAATAAAGATAGATTTATTGAGCGCGTAATAAACCGAAGTTTCTCTATGGGCTTTACAAAGTAACAAACAAGCAAGTACAAGTATATTTAAATAGTTACAAGAACGAAATATAAAAACATTAAACTAAAGACATGTAACTAAGATTAGTCATTGTGAGCAAAGTTAATACAGATAGCAAATATTTATGACAACACAATTAGTTATATGAAAGCTTATAGACGTAAACGCCCTAACTGTATCACAATTGTCTACGTTCGGGATAAATATACATGTACCTTATCACGTTATTTACTTACAAAAACACTTTTATTCCTGTTCATTCATGGTTGTTAATTTAATACATACCACCACTACCATAAGCATGAACACAAGCCCAAGCGCCCCCTGGCTACGCCCTGTATACGCCTCTGTATCTCCGGCATTTCGAGAGTCATTCTTCTGAAAAAGTGTAAACCCCGACCGGATTAGTACTCGTGCTCGAACGTCATAAGGTTGTGAGCAAGCATGTTGCAAAGCTCTGAACTCGGGCACTACTTTTGTTTTGTTTTCTTCGATGATAATTTTAGATGACATTCCCATGACCTCGTGTTCTCTTTTTTCCCTCGTGAAAGTAATTAAAAACTTCCCCTAATCAGTAAGTACGTTTCACCCCAGTCAGAATTAGTTTAGACTTTTAAGCACTGAGTCACTTCTCTGTTAGAACACCCTATCATTTTGATGCATAAATTTACTTTCCATGTCTGTTGTCTTTTATTAAACACTGCGTGTATCCGTTTTATTCCATTTCGCGACTTGTCCCCTGTTTTGAAAAAGTAGTTTAAATCGAATTGCTTGTCGTTCTGTTATTTGATTTAGACTTCCGCCTAATTCCAACCATGTGATCTGAATATCAGCATTGCGGTTAATGTTGTCTCTTTAACTCCAGCTATAGTTCTTTAGAATGATATTTCTCATGTTCGCCTTGTACAAAGCGTATTTTACACGACGTAATCATAGTAATGACTTAACTAATTAATGAAAGTGCGGAAGAGGGTTTGTGTGACTGCGTTTGGAATGCAGTAGTTTCCTGTAAGATATGTTCGAGACACCATTTGCATGTAATTTTGTGTATAAAACTATTATGAACAATTTGAAATGAAAACATGTGAAAACAACAGTGTGGCAGAACAATAATGATAGAAGGAAAAAAAAGCGCCACAAAGGCGCTTAGAGACTTCGGTGATAAGCGCTTTATAAGTAACTTTTATAAATAATTATTATTAAAAGTTACCTGCGCAATGGAGAAAAGAAAGGTTCTGTGGGCCCTAATTAAAATGTGGTTAACTCCTTGAGTTCTTCCTGTTTGATGTAATTTAGATTGTTAATTTTGTTGTTGCTTTAGTAACGGAAATTAAATTGAACAGGTGTAACCACTGCCGATTATGAGGTTTAGTGCAGAAATGATTTTGTTTCCTGGTATTGTGGTATTATGTTCGCCGTCTTTTTGATGACCGAGGATATCGTTCACATTATGTCATGTTAAACATAGGTACTGTAAAGCCTAGCATACACTATCAGACTCTCACATCAATGGTGAGAAAATGGTGAACAAATCGTAAACAAATTGTGTTTGATCCTATCACACCGCTACATAATCCTTTACATAGTAAGTTTTTCAGACATTGCTAAGTTGAGTTATGTAATCATTTTAAATGGAAATTGCATTGAGGATGTCATAATAAATAATGAAATACGTAAGATGCAGGCAGGCATATGAATGTAAAGATTTTACCAGTACAACGACGATGTATAATTATAACGTTGTCAATCAGCCAAAGTGTATTTCATTTCCTTTTGGTATGAATAATTTGAGAGCAAGCGATGGAGAAACGGGGAAGGATTGAAGGGAGAGAGGAAGAGAGAGGGAGAGAGAGAGAGAGAGAGAGAGAGAGAGAGAGAGAGAGAGAGAGAGAGAGAAAGTGTGTGTGTGTGTGTGTGTGAGGGGGTAGGGATAAGGTGGAAGGGGATGTGTGAAGCATTATCTGGCAGGGGGAACGCATCTTACATCTCTTTGTCAAATAAATCAATTTTATTCATTTAAAAAAAAGACGTGATCGGAAATCGGAGATAAGGTATAGAGAAAGAGAGAGAGAGAGAGAGGGGGGAGGGGGGGGGGGCGTCGAAAAGATAAGGACACCGATTAATAATAACGTGAAAATAGAATGAAAGAGGAAGTGGGTAGACAAAAGAGAATGCGTGTGATCAGAGTTGATACTATAATACCAAGGACCGGCTGGTAGGGGGGCTTTGCTATAAAAATGGGGGTTGTTTAAAGAATTGATAACACCGGATGTATTCACTAATCAAATTCACTCACGGGAGAGGGGGGGGGGGGGAGATTTTTCCTATGATGGATGGCCGAAGCATACACGAGACGAGGGAACACATGCCCAACATATCACCACCTCCCCTCTTGGTGTCTGGGAGGGAAATTGAATGAACATTCATGTGAGATTTTTTTCCCCTCCACTCTGAGCGATACATGATACTTGTTTGAGGTTTCTACCGGAACATCCACTTAGATTACACGTACTCAGAATAATTTAGCTGTTCTATTTATAGAACATTTAATTTGCGCGAGTGGTAGAGAGGAGAGAGGAGAGAGAGAGAGAGAGAGAGAGAGAGAGAGAGAGAGAGAGAGAGAGAGAGAGAGAGAGAGAGAGAGAGAGAATGGGATAACAGACGTGACAGGCAGGTATTCATATACACAGTAACCTATAAGTTTTTTAGGGCAGGGAAGGAGAGGGTGGGGGGATTATCTCTTGAATTTAATGGAATGCAAGCAGATGAATACAATTTATTTCAGTGATTCATATCAAACTCTTTTCAAATATTTTTCTAAATTATTTCGCTTTCATCATGATTAACAATTAGGCACTTTAACAATTCTGCCATGACCCAGTTGGTCATAACATTCAGTATTTCATTATAATTGTTATGCGTCCAAATATAAACGGCATCAGCTGCTGTTCATTATCAATCGAATCCAGGTTTTATTGCTAGAAACAATCTAAATATAAACACTTTACGAATTATTGACACGAATCCATTAATTTGATAAAAAAGAGAATAGTTCTTATTTTAGATTACATCAGTCGCATACTTCTCTCATAACAGCACAATGAGCTCTATCCTGCTATTCTACTTCTGTCACCTGAATATTAAAAAGTGCAGACAGCCCCAGAGTCTAGCGCATGTTAATCACGGAATGGGTTATTACGGGCTTATGGCGTGATGTTCCTCGTGTGGCATTGGGTTGAATGTTGTCTTTCCTTTTTTCTTTGAGCGGAAATGTTAGATTTGCACATCTGGGGAATTAGTTTACTTATAGGAGCTTAGTAGTGGTAGCTTCGTATTGGATATTTGCCAGTAGACTGCAACGTGAATGGAAGTAGCATGTATACGGGGGAGGGGGAATTCGCAGGCACGCACATGAACAGAAGGGAATGGGTAATTTGTTTTCTCTCAGAAATCGAAAGTTCACTTTCTAGCTTAAGTTAAAGGTAAATACTTGCAAACTTTACGTGAAATATTCAGGTCTCGTGTTGCTATAAGGGAAATTCACAATTATGACCCTGGAATCAAGTTTGTTTTGATAAACATGATAATGATGAATAAATGGGAATTTGCCAGTATGAATTGGCATTACAGGTAGGCCGATAATAATTCATCGGGCATCCTTCCATTAATAATGTATTTACAAATTTATTTAATATAATCAATAATCTTGATGATGAGGGAAGGGGATTATTCAATAGGGAGGCATGCTTCATTATAATCCAAATGACTACACACATAGAATATAAATATGAGAGTATTAGAAATTATTTTCTTTCGACAGAAACGAAAATCCCGCACATTAATTAGAGTGTAATTATCATGAACCTTTACAACAACAAAAAGGTCTCTGGCTTACTTCTTGCTGTTCATAGTAAACATTTTAAGTCAAAATATCACAATTTAAAAAGCTGTGATCTTCAAGGAGATACATGTATACCAGCGTGTAGAATAGACATTGTGCTATTTGTATATGACCGGAATCATTAATACAAAGATGAGTTCATTGTGACGTATCTAGTTTGATTGACGTGGTAACACACGACACAAAACCTGCATTGACCTTCCCCCAATAAATATATTATAACAGGTGCATATTTGCCCCCATGTCGGCGTGTCCTACTTTAAAGGCATCGTGTAACAATGTCAAATCTGAGATGCATAGCCCTACGTGTTATCAGTGTCTGTGATATGGTGTAATATTGAAACCCTAAATACATTGCGCTTCAAAATGATCATGAAGTGCCTCAAAACAGTTAAAAATCTTTGAGTGACCGGTTTTACCATACTCATTTTTCCCAATAGACTGAAGTGTTAGGAGAACCGTTAGGAAAACGCAAAATGAAATTTCGATTTTCAATCATAAATATCTTGATAATCAGACAGTCGATCGGCTTGTAACAGTCATGGGATTCCTGACTGACCTAAAGGTTTATAATTATGATTGCAGTATGAGCTAAATCAAGGATATTTTTTAAGGATCTGAGACAAAGTTCACTGAGAAAAGTGCAGTATGGTAGGGGAAAGGTGGAGGGGAGGGGGGAGGGGTGGGCTCGCTCCCTCGAAGGGAATCATAATTATTTGCGTCGGTGTAGTCAGGCGAGAGGGGGGGGGGGGCACGGAGCTGAGTATGTCCCCTGATTGAAAGGCGAGGGAGAGGATGATGGAGAGAGGGAGGGAGATAGGGAGGTTATAAAGAGGAAGTTAGGGGAACAGGAATAACAAAATACAGAGGGGAACAACTAAATTACATTAAACAAAATACAACAACGCAAAAATAGGATAGAAATTGCTCTCCATTGTACACATGTAATTAAGTATTGGTATATTCCACTCTTGAGAGAGAAAGATGAAGTACCTAGATAGGCCAGCAATGCCCCCCCCCCCCCTCATTACCACTACGATCACAACTGGACATTCCCTACGCAACTTTTTAGCTTCATTATGTATCATAATTAATTAAAATCTAAGTAGCACCTTTGGCCCGTGAATTCAACTATAATTCGAAAGCATGAAATAGCAAACCAGCTTTTATATGAACATCGACTGCTCGTGTAAAATTATCATATAGTTTTAACTGAATTTCATTTTCATGAAGCCAACAAATTAACCTGCAACCGATGTCGTACAAGGTTTCAAATTGTAGAAAAGTATGCTTCCTCTTTTTCTCAGTACATGTACATGTATATACAGAGTTTTCACATTTTGCTTAGCAAACGGGCGTTATTTCATTTATTATCTTTTTTCTCTTTTGTGGTGGGTAAAAAGTAGGCCTAAGTGTATTTTTACTGAGAAAGAGTATACTTTGTGTCATCTCAATGTCATTTCAAATGGAAATGGTAATACTAGCAAATGGAAATTAAAACTGACGGTGATCTCTTGTAACGTATATCAGTTACACACGCGTATCAATTTCGTATTTTACAAAGACTTCCGATTGAATCAATGACTCCCGTATTAATACGAAATTCGAGGACAGAGATAGTTCTTCTCTATAGAGCAATGTTGTTCGAGAAAATGTAACCGGATATGTGAACTCACAAACATTCACAGAATCAGGAATGTAGAATTGAACCATTTAGAATCACAGTGAGTGAGGTGAACAAGAAGAAATTACTTTACACCCCCTCTCTAATGCTCCTCTCTTTTACCCCCTCTCTGTATTCCTCCATCTCCTATCATACGGGACAATTATCTTAAAGAGAACAGAGGACTTCTCGTAAAGGTGAGAACAAAAAATTGTGCTTTCTTTTTCCTTTCATATCAGTATAAACGAATTTTATAGGAGAAGTGTCCCAAGGGAAGAATAATTGTTCTTCAATGCTCTCAGATTCAAATATTGCAAGGAAACGTTTGAAAACTTTGGTCCAAAATTTGTAATGCCACATGTATCTTTAGTGCATACACCAATTTCTAAGCGCAGTGCAAGTACTTTCGGCAGGATTATGAGCCCATATATTCAAATTGTATTAATTCCAAATCCTCAAAGTATATAATGTACATCTACCAATTTTATTTACTACATAAACAAACTCTCCCCCGATTGCTTCCAAGCAATTTCTTCACGATGTTTAATATCGTATGACCAGAACTCAACTCTTTCTGTTATCATGTTGGCTAACTTACCTGTCCGTCAGAAAATGCTTCAAAGTGCGTGATGAGCAACTCTAGCTGGTGTTTGGTCGCATTCCCCCCGTAGACTAGGGGAATTCCCGATTCTTTGGTATTGACCACGCCCTCTATTAAGGAGTCGCGCGGAATCGGTGAAGGGCGAGCAGCGCTCTGCTGGACCAAGTAGATACATGCTACAGCTACTCCAAGTATTAACCAAGCTTGATCCATGATTCTACTACTGCATGAATAACATTGGACGGTATCGTGACAACAAATGGATGTAATGGATGAAAATTCCTTGGTATTGGACACACTGCTTGGAGTCGCTCGATTGTTGAAGGGCGGTTGATTCTTTTCGACTGCTATGAGTTTTACCACTCGGTGGGCTCCGATGTTACCCCCTAGCGTATTGAGCACACAGATCGAGGATCATACATTACTGGTTTCCTCCGAGGCTCCGACCACCATGACTGTTTGAAATCCAACTTCGACAAGACATGGGCAACAAAGCGACGACATTCCCCTTTTCAATCACGAGAGTGCCAGAGAGAAACAGAGAGAGAGAGAGAGAGAGAGAGACAGAGAGAGAGAGAGAGAGAGAGATAGGGACAGAGAGAGAGGGAGAGAGAGACAGACAGACAGAGACACACACACACACAGATTGAGAGACAGAGAGACAGAGCGATCAGTCTCGCGTGAGAGCGTGTCACCATTAATGCCAATCAGAAACAATTAGCACTCCAATAACCAGTCCTACGTGGAAATAATGAGGGGGCTTGCGGGCATTCATATACGCAGAGGAGGGGGAGGGGGCTTTCTAAAGGCCTAATTTCACCTTTGCTCAGTACTCAATGGGTAAATAGCTCCGGAAGACCAGTATTTTATGTTGTTTCGACCAATTTTCCCCTCTAACTCCTAACTCCACCCCTACCCACACCCACCTCAAGTACCCCGAAGAACCCACCAATCTTGATGAAAGCTTCCTGCAGAATACAAAAAAGTAAAGCGCATCCTTGTGATGATAAGCTCGGGAAAGAAAATTATTAAAGACTAGCTTCTCGTCCTTCTATTTTTATTAACCTTCTCTTGTCATTCATATCATATATATAATTAGGCCATCCTCATGACATGTTTGTGTAAGCCAACATTGAAGTACAGGTAGTTTGAATTCGGCAGTACCCATCGCTGTTCTAAACCCTCAATCATGTCCGACAGTTATTGAATAATTGAATATTTGTAGACAGGTAAGGACATAAACAAGAAAGAAACCAAACCACATTATTATCTGAAACTTATCATCATTCACTCGAGAACTTTCCCCCTTCCTACCCCTCCACCTTCGCCACTTCATTAGGTCCATCGGTCACGTGACAGACTTGATTGTCTATAACAGGAGCCCCCTTTCCCCCAATGACATAATTAATCAGAAAGGGGTTCCCTACCTAATTCCGGACATTCCTCATATTATCAATGGACACACGTAACTGTGTGCAAACAGCTGGATGAACGCGGTTAATTGTTTTCAACTCCTGCCAATTAATATACTCAGAACCAAGGATTTATGATTGAAATGATCATCTCAAAAAATTCTGAAACGCACATTGTTTCAAATTTTGGAGCATTGACAAAAATTACTACTGACAGTATCGTTAGCCTGTATTGCATTACAATTTGATTTTAACTCCATATTATGGGTAAATATTACAATATATGTTCATGAAATGGCTGTTTTTAAATAGACTGATAAATCATTAAATAAAGTCGAAATTCTTTTGTAATTGGGAGATCAGTGAGCACTTATCGAGCCAACTAAAGCTCAACAATATTGACCTCATTAACCAATCATCATTCTAAAAGAGCGTGTTTCAAGGTAGGTACTAAAGCTCGAAGAATTAGTGGTCGTTCACTACACCTAGTTTCCAAGAGGCCCAAAGTTCACTAGACCGCAACGGTCCATTAGGCCGACGGTTAACTAGACTGAATATACAACAAACTAAGCCGCGGGGGGGGGGGGCGGTTGATTCAAAACACGATCTTAACTACTTTCGAAAAAAATCAACTCATGGTAATTTAAATGTTTGGATTATTTTACACATTTCACAAGGGGACATACAAGGTTTTTCGAAAGGAGTGCGATTTTGTTTTGAGAGAAGGTCTTCTATTGCAAATAAACTAAAGGTCCATGAGACCTACGCGACGGTTCATGAGGCCGACGGTCAATGAGGCCAAATGTTGTCATCTTGTGACTCTTGTTTTTACAGCTAGATGGACGGAACACGAGACCAAAGGTCGACGAGAACATAAGACCAAAGGGTCATGAGACTGAATATATCCGTACAATGGACGTTCTATCTACTGTACTAGAATCTATGCTTTAAGAGTAATCGTATCATGCTTGATCAATCGCAATACTTCATGTTGAGGTGCAAGTGAATTATTTCACATCAGAATTATAATGAAATTTGACAACTTTAACAAGCGGAAGGAGATTTTCTTAACATAATGCACGAAGTGTCCATGAAATCCAGCAATTAAATTAATTGATGGAAACCTTTGGCAAAACGACGAGTCAAAACATTTCTACAAAATGTAACCTTGTTCATATCAAACGTATCGAGATATTAAATTGTCATTTGAGAAGATTAAAGCGAAAAATTAAACCCTGATAAAATTTTAGAAATACCATAGTATACATAATTATATTGAATTCACCCAATAGAAGGAGAAGTTTGAATTATTCACACGGCAGATATGAGGATAATTGCCCTCCCCCTCCCCCGTCCCCCGTCCCCCCCCCCCAACGAAGCCTCTAGGCACAGACTCTCATGTGATACTGACATTAATTTGGGGCCTGTCACCACGAAATGAGTCCAGTTGGTCAAAAAATTTATTCCTGTTTTTAAGTATTATATGAATCTACTTTAAGTAAGCTTTAAATTAAGGGGTCACACATTAAAATTGATAAATTATATCCAGAAATATGAACAAAAACCTAATTGGACTTTATAACAATGGGATTACCCAGTTTTGAGATAATTAGGTGTAAAGTTAATGATGCGTAACATATTATAGTCTGGTCAACAACAACATAGCAACAACACACTTCCCATCATTCGATTTCAATGAAACTTTCAACAAACAAAGAAATAATGTGGTAGGTGGGTCAATTTTCAGTACATACACACTATACATCGCTATTTAATGCGACACTGGACTCATTTCGTGGTGACTGGCCCCATTTGTTGTTAAAGTCTTGAGCAGAGCCTGACTTTGGCAGTCTCTGGTTGTGTAAAGGACAGCTACAGTATAAGGCATATTGAATGCAGTCTCGAGGAAGTCTCTTAGCTCAGACACTCTGTTATGCATAACGACTGCCAAGGTTTTTTTTTGCATGTAAACTATAAGGGTGCCACAAATGCCCTTTTAATGATTCCCCCTTCTTTAATTTTAAATCCTATTCAAAATAGGGTATACAAAAATAAAAATATTACTGACATTTAGGATATCTCGTCCCACAGGTATCGTCTAAATGTTGGCATGTTTACGACTTTAAAGGAAGATCACACTCTTAATGACATTGATATATCTTGGATCCCTATTTCAAGAATGGCTCAATGACTTCATTATAATCAATAAGAAACCTTGTCCTTACTACTACTACTTTTTCTCCTTCTATTTTTAAATACGAATGCTATGATAATTTTAAAATATTTTTTGGTAAAGTTATTCCAAAGTTCGCTCGGGCTATTTTCATACGATATATATAGCAGGAAGACATGCCATCGTTTCAAGCTACCATTCGCTAAAAAAATAGCAAATAAACCGCTCAGTTAGGTTTATGTTTCATGGAAGTGATCCTCACTAGATGAACGTGACTGAGCTTTAAAAAATATGATAATGTTATCAAGGAGAATGACTTCCACAACAACCTCAAAATTGGGATGATGCCTAAGTGGTTGATTGTTTTAAACATCTGGCCGATAACTCTTCTAATGCTCAAACCACACTAACCTTAGGCGACTCATGATTTCATTGCGAAGTACAACATTAATCCTGCATTGCCGAGTCTCTCGAACATGACTCAGAACTTAATTGATTTATTCGCACGCTATCAAACAAGCAGGTTAGCAATTAACCAACCGACCAAGCAAGCAATCAACCGTCAAACCAATCTTCAACCAACCAGTCAATCAATCAAATAATCAATCAACCAACCAACCAACCAATGAAATCATCCATCTATTCAATCAAACAACCATCCAACCAATCAATCAATTAATCAGCCAACCCCAAAACAACCTACCGACCAATCAATCAACCCATGCACGAGTCAATCAATTAACCACCTAATCTATCGATCAAACAATCAATATATTATCTATCAATCAGTCAACGAATCAATCAATCAATCAGCCAACCCCCAAAACAACCAACCAATCAGTCAATCAACCAACCAGTCAATCGATCAGCCATCCAATCAATCAACCAATCAATACATGAATCAATCAGCCAACCTCCAAAAACAAACAACCAATCAATCAATCAATCAATCAATCATTAAATAGATCAATTCATAGCATACAGTTTCAACCATATAAGTACCGGACACACCGCCATGCTATCCCAATTCTCCGTAACGGGGGGGGGGGGGGGGGGGTGCTTTTTTACACTTAAAAGTCTGCTATTGAATATTTTCTATCTCAAACATGTCAACCAACCAACCAATCAATCAATCAACCAGTTTATCTTTCAATCGATCAACCAGCCCCCAACACAACCCACCAATCATTCAAGCAACCAATCAATCAATCAATCAATCAATCAATCATCAAATAGATCAATTCATAGCATACAGTATCCATATTAATACAGGACACACCGTCGTGCCATCCCAATTCTCCGTAAGGGGGGGGGGGGTGCCTTTTTACACTTAAAAGTCTGCCATCTAATGTTTTCTATTTCAATCATGTTAATGGGGAGGGCCTCATTCGTTTTGGCTTCCTCCCTATATCTTCCTAGGCCTATATTTATGTCCCTATAATTTTGAAGAGGAGCACAGCAGAATGATAATTAAAACAAATCGAATGAAGAGGTGATGTGGTCTAGTGGGTAAGTATCTTGAATCACAAGGTAATGGGTTCGGATGATATCAAAGCACATTACACTTATTAGGTCTCTAGTAGTGGAATATTCAATAATTTTATTTGAAAATGTACATATAATTACAATTGCAAATATAGAAATATTTATTGAAATATATAATATATCATAGTACCGGTAAGTAAACATGTTGCTGTACTAACTTCCCCTGGCAAGACATTAATATACATTCGCCACCCTCGACCCAAGAGCAGGTAGGATTTATTCATTAAAGGTTATGCACAGTTTTGGGAAATTTTGAAAAGTGGATGGATAATAATTCTTTAAAATGTTGATATATTTTGATGCCCCTGTGGATGAATTATAAGCACTAGAAAATGTATCGATGCTCCCGGTAAATTTCAATTATATCAGATAGCGCCTAAGGCCATTCCATGGTAGTTACAACCATAAGAATTTCAGAATATGCAGTTCTGATATAAAATTTTCAAACGGAAATAACAAATCGGTCGATTGTAGTCAAGAAACATTGTTTTAAAGCTAAATTAATTTCAGTCTTGAGAGGGAGCTATACAACACAAAGAGTTAATTTGTTTACAATTTCATCACTTTAGACTCGATTTTAGCCGCGACAACGATCATTGAATATTGTAAAATTGCATATGCTTCCAATATGTTCATTTGAACCAAATTCATGACCCCATACCAAAACTTTGTATTACCTTGAAATGCATTGAGCACTACGGTAGCCGGAGCCAAAGCCGGGGTAGCAATATACAAAGTAATTTGGGAGTATATAGAGACGTTATATCATGTGTGATATGCTTTATACAACAACGAAATATAATTATTAATGCAAAATGTGATCCGACAAGTATGATACGTTAAAGGTCTGTCCTAAGAGACTAAGAACCTGTGTACGGGGGTATTATAAATGATGTCTTATGTATCAATCAATAAATAACGCAGAGTCAATTCTTACTTCATCTCCTAACTTTATGTAGGTAATCTTATCCTAACAGATCTAACTGTTCGCCACTGAAATTGAATTGTTATCATACTCTTCAACTAAAAAGGGAAGCACAATTGGAAACATATACGAATGAACAATATTTCCATGAGTAAAGACAGAGATAATTACTGGCTACTTGCAATCGGCTATTATACGTACCATGACACTAGTTTGATATCAGTTACAGTTTGAACAGAAATTGCAATTAATTGATAAATTTGCGATTCGGCGATTTCGGCTGACTCATCACATCTGTCGTGTCTGAATTGCTGTTTAATTATCTTCTGAGGTTTTTGTTCACATTTTGCACTGTACATACCTGGTATAAATGAATGATTGGTGTTTGTACTGTACCTAATAATTGTTTTTATCATTAGGTATTCGTCATCTAATATTCGGACAACCGTTATATTTTATTCGGGCAGACATTGGGTTTTCTAAAATACCTTTTTAACTATACTGTAGGGAAAAAGTTTTTTTAAATTTTTTTAAAGCGGAAATATTAATCTCTCGTTTGCTGCGTTCACCCGCAAAATTAAAAAAAGAACCTTGATGTTGATATTGGGGCGAGAGACGTCAGTCCTCACGGCGAGCGTGTATAATTACAATGAAAGTGTGAAATCAGGCTTTGTTATCTATTGATTTACATAACATTAAGACATTTGTTTGTGTATAAGCCTATTCTTCTTCTTCTTCTTTTTTTTTTTGGGGGGGGGGAGGGGTGTTACGGGGGAATGAAAGATTAAACAAACCAATGCCTTCCTGTTTGTTAAATTAATTACTCATTATTCCTAACTATCATTTGAGGGGTCCACAATTTATTGTACAAGCATTGTTTTTTTAGTGGACCCCTATGTTTCCAATATGTATTCCTTGATTGTTGTAAATGATTATAATTGATTTGTAATATTTTGTTGGAAACAGAAAAACATTTGAATTGAAAATTGCTTTGAATATTATTATCAACACATTCAATATGCATGTATTGCAGTACCAAATTGACTTTTTTGTTTGTTTCGTTAATGAATGTACAATCCTTTGTTGTGAATGTCCAGACCACTACAATAGTTGTCTTTTTAAATTAATCTAAATTAAAACAGGAGCATGTCCATCTTGTCTGTTAGGACAGCGATTGGTTGTAAGTTGTAGGTGTTAAGAGCAAGGCTGGTGTTGTTTACCACTGCTGGCTGTGCTTACTGGCTTTAGACTGGGTACGATGCCACAGTAGTCTCGGTCGGTGCGGTGATATCCTTTGGACGGGTGGGCTGTATCAATGAAACAACAAGAGAAATCGACTTCAAATCTCGAAATTCAACTTAAAGATAAACTTGAGTTCTGGTAAAAAAAATAAAATGAATTCTCACAGAATCTAACGAAACTTACACTGAATGTTCAAGATTACAAATAAATGTCATGTGCCAAACAATTTTGGAAGAAAATGTATACTGGCTGAGTAATGAGCATAGAAAGATAAGAAAATCAGGGTAGTACCAGCCCCGAAACCATGTGTGTTGTCCCATACCCATCTTTCCGTGTAAGTGACTGTTACTTTACCAAGACTCTTCCAAATTTATGATGATTTTGATGACTCCAGAACCTTGCATTACACACCATTACTTACATGCTATATGATCAACTTTTCTGATCCATTCCACACCTTTTCTTTCACAATGCAATCGCATTACCAGAACTCAAGTTTATCTTTAACGTCAATTCAAACTAAAACCCGAGTGATGGCGCGATCCCGAGAACCATTACCTTTTTTATTCGCCGACTGTACCCGTTAAGCCGAGAGATGGCCGAGCATAGATGGCTCTGAACCGGTTCTCGGTATCGCGCCATCACTCGGCGAAAATTCACTCAGTGGAGGGGGGGAGATAGTGTGAGCAAGTAGTGAGCACTAATTTTTTTTTATTTTTGGGGGGGCAGGGGGAGGGGCACGTGCCCCTTGATCCGCCACTGAGACGTGCCAACAGGAAGACTATAACACATAAGCTGTATAAAGTCCTTAGGCAAGATATTAATCCTTTTTTGCCACCCTCCACCCAGGTGTCAAATGGATACCCGGTAGGATGCGAAATTCATTACAGTTTGTTCAGCATAATGAGCACCTGTGAAATGGCACCTGGTTGGAATGCTCCCCGGGGAGCGGAGAATGTGCATACGTTGTGTTCAAACCAGCCTGAATCCATTGACCGTGGTAAAAACAAATATGTAAAGCGCTGATAAATCCATAACATTATTATCACGAATTTTTATCAGTACTACTAATCAACCTTTAAGAGTATGACCTTACTGTATAGGCGACAGTGACGTCATGTTCCTGGTCAGAACTTTCCCGGAGAGTTTGGTACTGCGCAATGACGCAGAGAAGACATATCACCTGCAAGAAACAACACAAAAGGCCACAACCAAAAATATGAAATACTGAACGATTTTTTTTTAAATACAGAAATAACTACATAAATAAACAAATAATAAAGATGATTAAACAACAACAACAACAACAACGATAACAATTACTACTACTACTACTACTACTACTACTACTACTACTACTACTACTACTACTACTACTACTACTACATGTACTACTTCAAATGATAATAATAATGATAATGATAATAATAAAAATTAAAAAACAAGAAGATAAAGACGAAGAATAAGAAGAAATAATTATAACACTTTCCATGAGATTTATCCATTAACAAAGTATTTCTATGCCATATGTCATACATCTATATTATTTCAAGCCTGAATATATCATCATCAAAGAATTGAAAAGTGAAATATGTCAGTTTCTGTCATTTTGAATAATTGTGTACGGATTTATTCAAATCACTCTAAATTCAAGAATTGTCCATTTTTATTTGAGCACTAAATGCGTGAATAAGATATATAACAAATAAAAAGAAATATCATCATACAATTTAAACAACAATTCAATTGCTGACACCATGCTTTATACCTCGAATAATACCTTATGTTCAGGCCTACAAACAATACAATCTTCCCGTTTAATTTTCCAATTGTCATGAAATAATCCCACTTTCATACATTAATTGTAATCTACCCATCTCCTTGACATCTTGATAGTTTTATACTCATCCTCTCCTTCCCTTCCCTCCCCCCTCCCCTCCCCCCCCCCCCTCTCTCTCTCTCTCTCTCTCTCTCTCTCTCGCTCTCTCGCTCTCTCTCTCTCTCTCTCTCTCACACACTATCTCACTCTCTTGTATTCATTCATTGTTGTTTGACATTCTAATTTCAGTAATCAAATGGTTGTCCAACTCCCGCTCAGTAAAGGAGAGTACTACTGCTTGATCGTGAACGGTTCGTCGGTTGATCCTGCCATTCGATTTAATTTGTATTGACCCCACCTACGGTCAAAATGCGCAAGTCGATTAGAATCTGCACCGAAGCTACATGTATCATGTATAAGCATTGCGCGTAGAAAGAACAAAAACAGAGAATTTACACTATACATTAACATGCATGCATGATTGATAAAAGGGTGATACAAAAACTCACATTTATAACTGCCAGCACAATCCAGGCAGCGAGGCTGATGTATAAAGATGTTTCTATTTTGTCCTATATCAAAAGAAAACAAAGAAATAAAAAAAAAATCATCCCAATGTATTAAAATAAAAATACTCTAATAATATTGCATACTGAAACATGTTGTTATTTGATAATTTATTTTCCTCTAAATCCTACTGGATCTTTAAGTAATTCTCGTGTTCTATATCTTCTCTCTCTCTCTCTCTCTCTCTCTCTCTCTATCTCTCTCTCTCTCTCTCTCTCTCACTCTCTTTCAATTATATACAACCCAAGCACGTTTGAACGTTCAGTGTAATACCTCCCCCCCCCCTCCCAAGGACGGACATTCATGTTGAAAAAGTCTGAAAGTTAAAAGGTTTCAAGATCTGCAGAATATCTCGAACGAAATTGCCATACACCACAGTATGATTTGTAGTGAACGGTATCACGACAGTTGTTGAAAATGTATTATTACATGTGTATTACTTCTAATATGACTTTCTTTTAAAGATTAGCAAGTTCACGATTAGTTTGAATTCTATACCAGTGGAAAATGCGGCTGTATAGTGGTTCAGTCACTTGACTCTCAATACAAGGGTTGATCTCGGCACTAAACGTCCTTTGTTAAGACGTTAATCCACATTTACCTCTTCCCACCCAGGTTTATTTGCGTACTTGGCAATAGACCAGTTCACGGTAAGCACATTACTGCAATGCCGACCCCGATTATCCACAGATCTTCAAAACATGAAGAGGTCCCACTTTGTACATTTTGAAATAATCACTCCTACAGCGATGGAGGTGCTATAAAAATAGTCTTTGTTTTCCCTTTTCAAAGCATAATTCCACCTGTGTATCATGGAGTGCACTGAATGTGCATGAATGAATAATGACTACATAACTTTCATGAGCACGTGTCCAGTATTTCGCCTCCTTTTTTTCAAAAATTGTTCTGCAATGACCTTTATCTGCTCATGTTCAGACTGCAACCGTGAACTGGCTTATTGCTGGGGTAAAACAAAAACTGTAGGACCCCCAAGAAGGAGTAGCGCTAATATATACTGGTGGAGCTGCCCTGTGTTAAGAAGACCCCGTTATTATCAATTAAAATTGACTGGAAATTCCCTCCAATTCCAAGCGATAATGATATACTCACATTCAGTTTGTACCAGCTAAAGAGTTGAACAAACCATGCAACGGCTTGGAAGACAATCAAAGCTGTTATAGCCACCATGTAAGGGATCAGTAGGCATTTAGTGTTCTGCAATAACAAAATATAAACAACAATACAAATACATACATGAACAACAATAAAACAGTAATGATCAGACTAAATAATAGACAGTGAAATCTTCGACATCAAAGTTAAATTTCCTAAGCATGATCACTAAGAAAGAGTACAAGGGAAAATAGGGTGTTAGAGGAAGAAAGACAGGAGCTCGAGGGGGGGGGGGGGGGGATGAGTCAGCAGAAGGGGATAAGAGAGAAAGGGAAAGAGAGCTGATGCGAGGTAAAGAACGAAGAAGTAGGGACGGTTGTAAGAAGAAATAGAGAATATTATGAAATGATAAAGTATACGAATATGGCAAATATGGCTTAATGTCTTGCCAAAGAACAAAAGTGGCTTGGCGGGACTCGAACCATATGATTGACAGTCCGATGAAGTATACATTAGACCACGACATAATTTATCTTCACGTACCTTTAACACGCCTATAAGAAGGATGATTGAAGTGATGAAAAGGGGACCAAGTACGATAATGTCGATGATATAAGCTGCATAAACTCCATATCCATAAGCTGAAACATTCTCAATACCACCTACATGCAGACATTGACCAAAAGAAATCATCGATAAATTCATTTTTCCAAATCCCTCAAAATGTGAAATTTACGTTTTGCAAGTTGAATTCACAAGCAAAATCATTCGAATATGTAACAATTTCTCATGTTCATTCCTTGAATTTATTTCATACGGCATTTACACATTTCGTGAGAGGATTACAGTAAATAGTGAACACTAATTAATGAGTAGAAAACAAATCAAATGGTCTGACACTTGACTTGCATTTTCTTTTAAATGGAAACGGTACCAAGATACTATTAAAGTTACTCGGTAACATCGTTGAAAGTTGATGAAAGAATTGCATAATTTTTGCATGAAATGTACTCATTATATTCCTTCTACTGTACTAACCCTCTAAAATGCAAAAAATCCTGAACAAATTCTCAAACCACAAAGATATCTATGGTTTTCTGTGAAGGTGTCACTGTGCAACACCCTCTAACAGTGATTAAGAGTAAATTCTCCCAACCATTTCTGAATTTTCCCAACGGTTTTTCCATGAAGAAAAGACAAAAGACAGGCTTTTAAAAATATGTCAATACTGATATGTCTAGAATGGTATGAAGAGCCAATTCATTGCTTTATGACGATTTGCATTCACCTAAGATGTAATAATATAGTTGGGAGAATTAAGGAATCGATCAGATCAGTCTTTCCCAATTTATATCATTAATAATGATCCGTTTTCACTCAAACTGTCAGAATATCTTTAATTGTACATCTATAGCATTGAAGTCACTACCTTAGCACCACTTTCTCTCATCTGAACAATATTACCAAGATACTATTAAGAGTCCATACAATTTGGTCTATACATGTTAGAGGCCAGAAGAACAACATCATTCTAAGTCGATATTACAGCTTTATTTTATTTCTTGTAAATCAAATTGTTTTAGACTTACTGGTACTCGATTGAAGACCTATGAATTGTATGATCCATATCGCAATATATCCTACGCTGTAGATCTACAAGAGAGAGAGAGAGAACGAGAGAACGAGGGAGGAAGAGAGAGAGAGAGAGAGGGGAGAGATGGAGAGAGACAGAGAAAAAAGAGAAAGAGAGGAAGGAAGGAGAGAGGGAGAGAGACAGAGAGAGACAGAGAGAGAGACATATAGACAGCGAAAGGGAGAGAGAGAGAGAGTATGTGTGTGTGTGAGTGTATGTGTGCGTGAGGGGGGGGGGGAAGGAAGAGGTACCGAGGAAGAGAGAGATGCAGGTATATAAGCAAGGAAAAGGGATGGGGATATTCAAGTTCAAAAGTTCTTCCATACGTACCTATTATTGCATCATCATTTAATAAATAGTAGATATTCCACGCACTAACAATGAAACATTTGAAGCTCGACTAAATCTATATTGGCTTAACCAACTAACCGTGGAAAAGGCGTTCAGTTCAAACAAAAACACAACAAGGAAATAACATCACCGTTACGTATTTAGTAGGTTAAATCTAAACGTTGTAAAGTACATTTCATTATGCTTTCATTGTTTAGATAGAATATTCACAATTTCCGCTTCTATTAAGTACTGTAACCTTAATAAAGACCAACGTGCATTACAAATACATGATTTGATATGATGTGACGTAACATGTATTCGAAATACGTTTTATGACATAATAGTTTCGTTTTGTCGATCTTGGTTCTCGTGAAGTTACAAACGATTTGATTATTAACAAATATGATTTTCTTTGGCTTGGAGTTTATAATTACTGTTAAACATTAAAATACAATCGTAAAAGATAAGAGGAAGAAATAGGAGTCGGAATTTTGTGTCTCAAAGAAATGCGATATCATAATTTGGTCATGATTACAATGTTTGTGATCTCTTTTTAATCACAAGTGTCTGTGATAAACTTATATTGGGGGAAATGCTTGGAAAATATTACGTTATCGGTTCCTTCGAAGGATTTTGAGCATAAGCATGCATGTATATATTAAGTATCCGGATCCATAATCTGAATTATGTGGAGTCTTACAATACCATAGATCATTAGTGATGTCAACTAAGATTAATCCTAAACAGAAATGCAAACAATTTTTGATAAAAAGTCAATGTCTCCCTTCTCCTCGTTGCTTATCACTAGTAATGGTAACAAGTTAATTGGCATGGTAATTAGTAGTAATGGCAAAGTTACCAACGATAGTAATGTTTATGCAACGGCCGGGCTCAGTGTATAAACGGTACTGACCTCAACACATACGCAGCTAACATTTTTATTTTCCTTTATCATGCTCATACAATTGTATAAATAACTACAAATATAAACATGATTCGACTTACCAACGAATAGACTGCTGCAGCTATTGATCCGCTTCGAGTATTGGGGAAACAAACACACCGCGTCATAATCGCCATATTGCACACTCTTATAATACTCAATTATATCAGTTACAGATAAAATAGCAAGCTGCTGGTATATGAATCGCAATATCAGATACTAATATCAATTATAGAGTTGTAACTGCGGATATGAGCCCACACATTCGCAGAACGCAGGAAAGGTTGTTGACATTTGTATGCGTTATTATTAGTCATTCTGTGGAATGTATATGCATTGCTGTAGCGACTAAAGCGTTCCCCCCCCCCCCCATCCTCAAGTAAATATGGGGGCTGGTGAGGGGCGAGGAATACCCAAACTGTCCCATTTCATTTTCTACGTTTTGATAATGTATTTTATCGACTATTTATTAGTTTATTAATTTACTAACACACGAATCCATGCCATGAAGTGACCGAATGAAACCAAGTTGGTCAAACCCTGTTTATATATGGCTTTGACACACATTATTTCAGGATCGAGGAATTTGATCAAAATACTATTTTACTTTCAAATCTCAAACTTCGATTAAGCATATTAACAACAATACAGATCTAGTATTTAGGTATATTTTTCTTTTTAATCTGTATTATTCACAATGAAATTTAAATGGTTTACATATTCTGGTCTATAATATACTGAGACGAGCACTCAAAATGTTTTTTTGTATACGTAAAAGACAACAAAACGGAAGGACAAAATAGTTGAACGATTATTTAGATTGATCTTCAGTCTTCATGAATGGGCCGAAATACCTATATAAAATCGCTATTTTTAATACCAACTTATCATGAAAAGAAACCACTGACAAAATTGGGCCTTTTTGTTCAACTTAGGAATTATTTACGTTCAGTGGATTACAACTACGAGAGAGAAAATCGGAATAGTTAATTTATTATTATAAGACTGAAGTGATCTTTATACTTAGTATGATTTACGATTCTCATGTATTACTAATTCTAATCCTTGTCAAATTCATTTTTAATTGGAAAGTACCTCTTTGATTTGATTGCTCTTAATAATAGTAAAATAATGATTGTTTCTACTGCGCACGTTCTGATATAATTATATAGTTTCACTTCCGGCGCTACAATGTAATACGATAACCCACAAATGTTATCTTCACATTTTCATGTGGAACACACAAAATGTCTCTACCAAGTATATAATTTCATCTTTAGTAAAATATTGGGATGCTGATAATTTCTAGTTAGTTGAATTATCTAAAATCTCTATTTCTCTCTCTCCATCTCTCGCTTTCTCTCTCTCTCTTTTTCTTCTCTCTCTCTCTCTCTCTCTCTCTCTCTCTCTATCTCTCTTCCTCCCTCTTACACACACTCTCTCTCTCTCTCTCCCTCTCTCTCTCTCTCTCTCTCTCTCTTTCATATGTATATATATATATCGTATCACTGTTATACTCGAACATACATGAAAGTTCACTGTTAAAACTTAATGTACAATACATGTTCATTTTGTTAAAACTATACTCTTTATATAAATTGAATTGAAAAACGTTGTCCTGTATGTAAAACTTTATAGAAATCATATGTATCAACAATTTTTTTTCAAGGATATTCAATTTCAAGCACTATTAGGCCTATGGAAATATAACATTTCTGATATAGACTGTATCACTAATTGTGATAATAAGTATTGAAATAAAATTAATTCTCTTTTGTATCACATGCTATATCTTATCACACTTTTTGGGGAGCTGTTGTTTCATAATCTTCTAAACTGAATAATTCTGCACTAAATTACAAAGAAGGAAAGTCACCAAAATATGTTGATTACTAGCTTTCTTCCGACCGTGAAATTTTTGTACTTGTATGGTTATAGGAGTCACGTGACCGTCATGTTTTCAGTACATGATGTCGTGTTCCGGTGCTTCCTTTCCACTCTCCGTACGAAACACCTGGAGGAGTGAGACTACGCACAGCAAACAGGTCATCTGGAAATTGAAATCCTGAAATAACTCATCTGCATCCAAGTTTGAAAATATATATCCCAAAGATTCGTAACTCTAAAAGTTCCTACTTTGAATTTCGAAATTAAAAGAGGGTTCGTAATACCAAATTTGAAATTAGTTATTCAGTATAATGAATTATTATTAATAATAATAATAATAATGATACAAATGACAATAATAATGATTTATGTATTTATTATCATTTTAAGATTTACTAAGGAATAATCATTGATATTAAATAATTTAGCTTCATATTATGTAAAATGGAATCTGATATTACCTCTTTGACCACCATATATACCGTGGCTTACATATATATTACCTCATTTATTGTATGTTTATCATATGTGTATGTTTATCACTGTCCTGTAATATTTCATTTATATATCTGTATCGCAATACTCTGTAACCAGTGGAAAACAAATTTCCTGAAAAGGACAATAAATTATTATACTTAAATTATTATACTTATTATGAAAACGAAATAGGTTTCATACTTCCGAAAATAAAACATATAACCCTGTACTGTTTCCAGAACTACGAATTTTAGGACAATTGATTCATTTTTCATTTTCGGAATTGTGAACCCTCGAAGAAATGAACAACAATTTTTCTATAAATAGCTGTATTGGCATCGATTTGTATTCACAAAATAAGCTTTGCATGTCTATTAAAACGTTATATTAAAGCTCATACGCTTTAAATATATTCTGAACTGACTTTAATATAAACCATATTACCTATTTTTGAGAAATTACACCTTTTAATTTGACCTAAAAGGTGAGAGTTTAATTTTAACTAAAAAAACCCTCATTCTTTAACCTTTATCAAACAAACGGTATGCAACTTAGATCTCAAAAGAATCATGCATTCCATAGTTTAGAGTGTGTCGTATTATTATCTTATCATTATCATTTGTAATTTTATGTATTCATTTATTAGGTTATTCATTTTTTGAAATATTCATAAATTAATTTATTGAAATATTCATAAATTCATTTATTAAAATATTAATAAGTTAATTTATTAAAATATTATTAAGTTAATTTATTTATAAATATAGTTTATCTAATATATATTCATTCATCTAGTTATCTATCTGGCAAAATAATTATCTGGATATGTGCTATTTTTTCATTTATTAGTTCATTTATGTAATCATTTATTAATTCATTAATTCACTTGTGGTTATTTTATTTAGATATTCTTTAGCAAGGAGCCCGAAACCTAATGAAAGACATTTTATTCGGTATTACCAAAATGCCATTCAGCTTCTTCATAAAACCTCAATGCCTTAAATGTTGAAAGGACTCTAAAGTCACTGAGTACGCCTGTTGGTAGATTTCTTTGTTACTATAAGCATGGAAAGGTGTAGAAAAATAGAAAAAACGAAATATTTTGAGTTTGTCTTCACTTACATGAACTGGTAACAGAAAGAGCCATATGACGAAACCAAAGACCATGGCATCTGTATAAAAGGCCTGTAGTAAATAACAAGTTATCAAAACATTACCGATAAACAAACGGGTTTGTAACTGTCAAATATTCAGTAACATTTTCCTTTTTAATTGATTATCTTTATTCTTATGTTCATGCTACATATTTGTGTAGTCCCGTATACCACTTGTTGTGAGCAATTCATGTGACTTACAGCAGGACCGAGGCAATTTGTTGGTTATTTCGATTGTTTTTAAAACATCACAGTATTATACTGAATATTATGTAGAACATAATCCATCTCTCCCAGATGGCCAAGTTAGATCAGGGAGCTGGAACATTAAAAGATGTTATAAATAATGTTATGGCATGACTAGTCAAGAATCTGGCCGTTTTTTTTTTATCCTACTTACGATCTCTTTTTCCCTAAATGCTACAAGCCGCAGATGGCGTGATCCACAAATTCTTACCAGAGCAACTGATAAGCAGAGTTTGGCCAATATACAACCCTGTTCGTCAAAGAGATAAGCGCAATTGGGGGGGGGGGGGGGGGGGGGGGGGGGGGGGGGGGGGGGGACCTCTTTGTTGGGCAAGCACAAAACAAAAGATTAAATGTCATGCTGTGAACCAAGACCAGCAGCAGCCCGCAATCACTTGCGTGTTATGTTAACATTAACACTTTTTAAACATAGTATGCAAACCTTTCGGAAGAATTCGTTTTAATGCTTAGAGTAGAGTCACATGAGGTACCTTATTGAGGCATTTTTTTATGGCTTAGTTAAAATATGTATGTATGACAACTCTGACCAATCATGGGACTCAAACTGTGGAAATACACGGAGATAATATACCCTTTCAAAATATATTATATTATATTATATATAATCATTATCAAAAATTTACAGAGGACATCTAATCGATAGTATGTGAATTTCTCTAATCAATCAATATAATATCACATTTGTTCCGTCAATCCAGAATGCTTTGGAGCGGATGAATCGTTTGCGCCCAATATGGAGAATGCTCTTTAAAGCGTATCAACACTAGTGTGGCTAGGAGGGATGAGACCACACAGCGAGGTCACTGACAGGTGGCTATCTCATTAACTCAGCTCTCATTTAACATAAGAAAAAGAGGATCATGAGGACCAACAGGCACCGATTGGGGAACTTTTCTATATAGAGGAGCAAGTAGCTACAAGTAGGACAGTAGGGGTTTAAATAAAATGGGTCGGATTGTGGACTGTCGCATGACCAGAACTTACCGTAACACTGATACGGACGATCCACGTGATGATCTGGAGTACGATCAGGACAGGGATGGTCGCAACATACGGGATGAGAAACATCCACATATCCTACAAGGAGAATAAGAATCAATGATGATAGGTGATACTTTACATCCTAGCCGTGGGACGATATTGATGACAATATGTATATTAGTGGTATTGGAGAGACTCAGAGAAAGAGAAAGATAAAGAGAAAAAGAGAGAGAAAAAGAAAGAGAGAATAAAAGAAAAAGGAAGAGAGAGAGAGAGAAAGAGAGAGATGGTGGCAACATACGGGATGGGAAACATCCACATATCCTACAAAGAGAATAGGAATGATGATAGGTGTTATTTTACATCCTAGCCGTGGGACGAGATCGATTGGGGAACTAACTTGCTTCCAATGATACGTATATGAGTGGTATAGAGGGAGAGAGAAAGGGAGAGAGGGGAAAGGACTTAGAGAAACAGAGAGAGAAAG